ACTCCTTGAGAGGGAAAAGTGATGACCTGCTGAAATAGATGTGCCATCAGGTTTCTGGTTACTTCTAAACAAATCCATCAGCTCCCTCATTTGTGTACTGCAGTATGTGTCCTGTAACCCACATCATTCCACAATGAGAAACAGAAAAAAAAAAATCAGTAGTGTTTTCCAATCAAATAAGAATGACTAGATGAAATTGAAACAGTGGGGGCTGGGGATTTAGCTCAGTGGCAAAAGCGCCTGCCTGGCAAGTGCAAGGTCGTGAGTTCAGTTCCCGGTACTGGAGAAAAACCAAAAAAAAAAAAAAAGAAATTGAAACAGTGACGCTGACCCCCATAATAATGCTCAACTATCTTATAAATCGTAGGACAGTGGGGAGCTCCTCTTGACACTGGCTAGATCACCAGCTCCAGCATTCTGTACAATACAGGAAGAAGACAGTTCTTTCTGCACATGGCAATTGTTTCAATGAAGTGGTGCCATCTGCCCAGGATCCCCTGTTCAATTATCACATTAGTTAACCCTTTTTTTTCCTTTTTGTTTTGTGTTCTTTTTTGAAACAGGTTCTCGCTTTGCAGTTCAGGTGGGCGGGCCCTGAACTCTCTATGTAGTCCAGTCTGGCTTCAAACTTTCAATATCCTCCTGCCTTAGCCTCCCAAGTGCTGAGATTACAAGAGCGCACCACCACACCTGGCTACATTAGTTAACACGTGACAAGATCTCTCTCTTATAAGTCATTTCTATTAAGCAGGTGTAATCATTATCACCGTGTACAAATGAGGGCACTGAGGCTGGTAATGTGATAGCTTCTCTAAGGACTTACAAGGCACAGCTGAGACCAGAAGCAGGAATAGTTAGATCCTACGCTCTTTCTGCTATCCCTTATGGCCTGCTGATAACCCTCGCATGGCTGGATACAGCTTCCTGAGAGTTCCTATAATGGTAGCTCAATAGCAGCATCAAGGAACTATGTACTCAAAGAAAGTCAGTGAGGAAGGTGCTCAATGGGCCAGTGAGGACCATTACTGTGGTCCTCAATTCTGTAATTGAAAGTTCCTGATTGGTCCTCAAAGAGGCCTGAATTAGGAAAGCCGGAGTTAATGCTGGTAAAGTACTTAGAGCGTTGAGCAACAGATGTAACTGATATACAAGGAGTGTTTGTTCAATATACATAATATATTTGTGTGCCCGGGGCTGTCAGTTATTCTAGCTTAAAGATTTCTTCTCTACTAGCAAAGGCACACAATAAAACTAGTAATAATAACACTGATGATGATTTATCACATTGGCTGATTTCAGCTCTAATCCTCCTAAAACTGCACAAAGTATAGATGTGATCAAAGATACAGTAAATGTTTAAATTAAAAATAAAAAGAATTTATTACAGTAAAAGACTCATCACCATGAATTACCCTCAACACAGCCCCCCTTCAGACACAATTATCCATCATTACTGCCCCTTTCAGAGGCACTTCTAGAAGTCCTCTTTCAGGAGTGTTTCTTCATAGCTCTTCAATGTCCTGAATTGATTCAAACTATTTACGGCAATTTCTGTCAAAGAGAATATTACAATGCTCCCTCATCTGCCTTACTTACTGTATCATGGATCCTGTGACTTTGGGCTGTCCCCTAGTGTCAAAATGACCATAAGGTTAAATGTTCTGAGTAATTCAGGATACAGAGGCACCCACAACAGCACAACAAAATAGTCTCGGGAAAGTGGCCTTCCAGAGCTGCTTGAGAAAGGGGCAAGAAGGAGGGAATAAGGGTGTTCAAAGCAAAGGAGACCGTGTTGAGTGGAATCGATGGCAAGGTGTCTTTTAGTGTAATAATTCTTTTTTCAGTTCAAATGTTCACCATATTATTTGATCATAACTCTATGTATTAGTCCTATTTGGGGGATGAGAAGAATAATATTCAGCAACTAGTCCAAGATCTTACTGCTATTAAGTGAGCAGTAATATCTGAAGTTGGATAATCCTGTTTTTCTTTCCACTTTCTTATGCTTCTTTCAGACCTAATTCAGTCAGTTGGAATAATAATTTAATCATTCAATATTTTAGCCTTCAAACCTTTCAATTTTCACTAAATAATCTCAATCTGTGCTGTCTAATACGGTAGCTCCATATGGCTTTTGAGCAAGACCAAAGCTGTGAATCCTAACTGAGATGTACTGGAAGTAGAAAATAAACACATAGTACAAAAAAGGTAAAATAATTCATTAATAAATTTGAATCTTGGGGCAGGGTTATAGCTCAGTGGCACAGTGCCTGCCTGGCAAACGCAAGGCCCTGAGTTCGATTTCTGGTACCAAAATAAGTAAATAAATAAATAAACTTGAATATTGATTACATGGTGAGCTAAAATTGGATATATTGTGTTAAATTTAAAATTATTAAAATTAATTTCCCTTTTTTGGTTTTTAATATGGCTACTAGAATGTAGCTGCTTGAACATGGAGACTAGAAAAATTTAAATTATATAAGTGCTTAATATTATACCTCTGTGAGACCATACTGCTATAAGTTATTATACAAATCTCCCACATGTTGACAACAGAGAAAATCAAACAGGAAAATAAGTTTTTGCTTTTGAATTATTCTCATGGCATCAAACCTATAACCTAAGATGTTCAAACACTGAGTTCCATAGTATTTGCAGAATCCTTTTTCTTTTTACTATAATGCATAGCAAAAAAAAAAAAAATACATCACCTTGCAACCAAGAATAATCTGGGTTTTGTTTATTAAACATATACTATATTAGCTTCATAAAGTTGGATGATATATAACTAAAACAATGGTTTAATGAATAGAGAAATTCACTTCCCCATGTTGTATTCTATTGCACTAATACTGATTGCAACCCACAAACCTAACTTTACAGCCTACTGATATGTTTCAACCTAATTTGTAAAATTCAGGCTAGTGCCTGTAATTAAAATACTGATTTCATCTACCCAGAGGTGAAGGGATTTTTGGTAAATAAGAAGGTGGATCTGGCAGAAATAAATGAGCCAGCAGAGGCTGAAGGTAACTCCTGCAAGTTCTGTGGCCTGTTCAGTTGGCCACATGGAGGGGAGATCTGCAGACTCAGTGCTTCCTCGCCCCTGTAGAATCAGCATTAATGAATATGTATGATGCCCAGCAACTGTTTCATCTGTTCAGCATCACTCCTTCTTACAGGGACAAGCAAATGCTTCTTTTGGTACCTGCCCTTCCTACCCATCTCCTCCTACTCCACACCCCAACTCTAGCCACAAGATTCAAATAAAAGTTGCCCTATACTGTAGGGAATGTCTGATGACTCATATTAGGGACACACCCCAATAGAGACCAGTCAAGCCTGTTCCTGGGATGTGTGGGATTCTAAATAGAGCAGTCTCTTCTGATGATTTACTTGTATTCAGACTTTTTTGACAAATTATTAACTTCCTATTGTAGCAACAGTAACAAGTATATTTCTCTTTGCTGAGTATCTTTCAATTATGTGAAATTCTTCCAACACACCTTTTTTCCTAAGCTTCTTATATTCTCTTACTCGAAGCCAAGAATCCAGACTACACTCTGATGATTTAAGATGGAAGGTTTGGCCAGTGACATAATTTCAGTGATTCTAAGCCACCCTGCACGCCCATATGCATGCAAGAATAGAATTCTGTTCTGCCACTGACACTTCTAACTTTTCAGGACTGCATCTTCCAGGGCCTGCGTATCTACATAGGTCTTTGCATCTACAGCAGTCTTTGTGCTCTAAAACCACACAAACCAGAATGGTTGGTAGCATTCGGACACCGGTAATTCCAGGCATCCTGTAACACAAATTAAGGTGGTGCTTTTAACATTGCAAATGCAGTAGGTTCGTACCCTGTCTATAAAGCAGCAATTAAGTAAGAGAAAGCATGTTCCTGATATAATATTGCAATTTAACTGGGAAAAATAGCTTTTATTTAATATCCATGATTAGCTTTTTTTAAATAAATCATTGCTGACAAATCAAAAATCATTTTCTTATAGAATATTAAAATTGCTATTCCTAATGATAAGGTACCTGGTGGGTTACTTAGTGGTGTCAGTTTCAGTGGTTACCCTAAGACTAATCTTTGGCTAAAGAACACAGACCATTCCAGTATCTTGTAAAATGAGGGAGCATTAGCCCCTTCAGTTTGATTTAGTGGCCTGAGATTGCCCTCAGGTCTCTTTGAACTATATTGCTCTTGGACCACATTTACTTCTGCATTTAGAGTAACTGATGTGCAGTTCCTAAAGTAAGAAGGTATGTGAGGCAGCCTATAAGATTAATCTTCAACAAAAAGATCTAGCTGAGTCAAAGGGGCAAATGGAGGCCACTGCCATTCTCAATACACAGAAAAGGCCTCTCCGGGCACATCGCAGCTGCTGCTGCTCTGCAGGACAGCCACCAGCCACCAGGCAACAAAAGCATGGATTGAAGTAATAGAGTAACAGACCGTATGTTCTTAGGCTCTTCATCTTCTTGAAAAACTTGCCCGGAAGGCAGCACTGTTTGCCTCTCAGGAATGTTAGTGCCTGTGGGGGATCAATATAAGAAATCCTGTGTGACTCCTGGTGGTCTCTTAAGACCCCGAATCCACAGCCTGAAACAGGTACGGAGGATGCCAATCAGATATACATAGTCATTCTATTTAGCACGCACAGGAGGCCTGCAGAGGAAGCATAAGGAGTCCGGAGTGTCAGCCTTTTTTAAGCACACACTCTGCGTGACGCTACTGCAGTGAATAACACAGACATGGCCGGTGCTCACTGGAGGTTTACTTTCTCTAAGGTGGGAGATGGGGTGAGGAAATGAGAAAATAAATTCAGCGCTAGCTGGGGGTGAAACCTGCAAAGGGCGTGAGAGAAGGAAGAGAGGGTGTAGCCCAGCTGGCTGCCTCTCACGCCCCTTTCCCCACTCCATCCCCCACCTACTTCTCCTCTCCTTCTTCTCCTCACTGTCCCCACCTGCCCTGCCCTGCCCTGCCCAGCCCAGCCGTGCGCTGCGCCAATGCCGCTGGTCGCGAGCCCCCAGCCCCTAGAGGGGCTCAACCGCCAGGCTCCCTGCTTCCACCCTGTGAGCTGTTGAGCCGCGACCAGGATGGGAAACGAGGCCAGTTACCCAAAGGAGATGTGCTCTCCTTTCGAAAAAGGTGAAATTAAAAGGCTGAGCAAACGTTTCAAGAAGCTCGACTTGGACAGCTCGGGCACTCTGAGCGTGGAGGAGCTTATGTCCCTGCCCGAGTTACAGAACAACCCGTTAGTGAAGCGGGTGATCGACATCTTCGACACGGACGGCAACGGAGAAGTGGACTTCGAGGAGTTCGTCACCGGCCTCTCCCAGTTCAGCGTCCGAGGCAATGAGGAACAGAAGCTGCGGTTCGCCTTCAGCATCTACGACCTCGACAAAGACGGCTACATTTCCAACGGGGAGCTCTTCCAAGTGCTGAAGATGATGGTGGGAGAAAACCTCAAGGGCTGGCAGCTGCAGCAGATGGTGGACAAAACCATCATCATTATGGATAAGGATGGTGACGGGAGACTATCCTTCCAGGAATTCAGCGCGCTGGTCAGGGGCCTAGAGATCCACAAGAAGCTGGTCGTGACCCTGTGAGCCTTTTTTGCGACAGTATCACTCAACAGCTTTTGCTCTCTTTGCTCTCATTCATCGCTACTCCAGCCGTCCAACAACTATTTCTCTACTACCTGGAATCGCTCCTCTCTGAAACTTTGGCTTTGTCACCATTGCAGTGTTAGGAATTGTTCTCTCCATGACTCAGGGTATCACCCTAAGAGCAGAGGAGCAAGATGAAGGAGTTTGGTGAGAGAAGAAATTGCTTAATAAATGTCTTTGTTTGTTTTGATTCGGTGGCCAAAATGTATACTGTCAACAGAACTTGAAAAGCTTAAGAATAAGAAAATATATACACGATTTGCATTGGGTGTCAGGTAAACTGTTTGCATTTACTTGTATTCAGACATCTTTGACAGATTATTAACTTCCTATTGTAGCAACAGGGGCAAAAATATTTCTCTTTCCTGAGTATATTTTAATCACTAGCTGTACAACAAAGGCCCATTTTCCCTGTAGTAAGCCGCAGCTCCTCTTCCCGTGATTCACCCCCAGTTCCGTGAGCATGTTTGCGGAGTGCAAGTCCAGTCCAGCTCCCCCTGTCTCATTGCTTCAGCCTCTATCAGAAACTAGCCTTGGGGTTCATGTAGAAAAAGTGATAAGCTAGACCAAGTGCCCAGACTAGCTGTCAGCTTTAGCAGCAAGGGATTCTCAGGGTTGGCTGCCCACTCCAGTGTTACGTTCAGAAAAAGGGTCTTCCAGTTATGTAGGGCAGTGTCCTTCCCAGAAAGTATTCACGCTGAGCATTCAGGCCCACCCTAGATGGAGTAAATGGGACACATACAGAATGGCCTTCCCATAGGTTACAGGCAGAAAAGATAAAGGCTTCAACAGACTCTCCCCCAGGCATTTGTGGAGGGTTAACTAGTAGTCAATTTGGAAGGTCCAGCTGAACTGAGTTAGCGTCATCAACCTGAGGATTGAGCCAAAATGACGGAAAAGAGGAACAGGAGGGGAAGATTGCGTGCTGCTGATTTTCCTGTAGAAGCTTGTTGCAGCTGGTTTTCCTGGTACAAACTCAGCTGTTCTCATCAGGGGAGGAGCTCATGTCCTCGCTCTGTGGACTGGGATGGCTGCTATTACTTTGGGGGAGCTCCGGTCTTACTTAGCCTTTGTCTTAATCATCGCTTCCTGGCTCCAGTGCAGATTCCTCAGCCATCTAGCACAGATCCTTCACCATGCCAGCACAGATTTTCTAGTTTCTACCACTGGTCTTAGGGCCTTCCCAGTGCATATCCTTGGTACTGGCTTGCATGAGGCACTGCTGTGAGATCTAGGCCTTCAGCTGGACTCATGTGGGACATTGCCATGAGATCCAAGCCCTCTGCCAGATTCTTCAAGATTCTAGCACAGACAGATCTCTTGTACTCTTCTTCGTTTGACCTTTTGGTTGAAGATTATAAAAGAATCCTATAAATTATGTGTCCTGTATTAAATCTATTCCCTTAAACCACTGATTATAACAATGCTGGGGTGGTATTATAGTGTTCTGAGGTGTAGAGATCACCAACCATGTCTCCACAGCACAGGTAAACAGCAGCCACAATACTTGAGCTTGGTTTTGAAAATCAGACCTGGGAGCTAGCGGAGAAAGTACGAGTTTTCACATCCTCAGGAGTTTTTTCCCTAATGGAACATTTTGCCTAGATTTCCTCACACCGGAATACTGCATCTAGATGTGTCCTGGAGCCTTTTGTTTCCAGATGAGATCAGATGTGTACACAGCGCCCCCTAGTTCACACTGCCATGTTGGTAGCTTGAGGATAGTCATGATGGGAAGAGAATATCATGGAAAAGAACAAAAACTTTTGGTGGTTTTCACTTTCTTTGGAGAGTCAGTTTACCAGTGAGTACACCTCCTGTTCCCACCCTCAGCATTACCAGCTGTCTGAAGTCGCTCCCCGCTGCTGGCAGATCTTAGAACACAAGCTGTCCTCACAAGAGCAGGGCCAGGACTGATTCCAGCATCCGTCCTTTTACACCACTTCTCTTTTGCACAGAAAACCACTCCCCATATAAGGTACCTGAGGGTGTCAAAATACCTAATGACACGTCCTCTTTCATACTTGCAAAAAGACAGCACAGCTGGTGGTTTTTCTCAAGAAAGATCAATTTCTACATAATTTATTATTGTTATATTTTGAAGAAGCTGGCAACTAGTCTTGACCAGAACAATAAAAATAGGAAGAAAAACAAAGTTTACACAAGTAAACTTTAGTTTAGTCACTGGCAGGATACCCATCTACTAAGTTAGTCACCCATCCACAATTTTAGTCACTGGCAGGATACCCATCTACTAAGGTACCCTGCTATACTTCTAATAGTTTACTAAAGAACTACAAAAAATAAGAATCCCTGTTCTTCTAATTCCTGTAAAGTTCCAATGAAATACATTAATAATCAGTCAACACTCTCTGTCCTATATTGATGTGAGTCAGAATTCCATTGCCAGGTAATATGGTTGAAAGACACAAAAATATTGGATTTGGATTAGTTACAAGCAGGTTATCCTCATAGTCACAATTAGTTGTATGAACATAAGCAACTTCTATGTTTTTCCTCTTAATTAAAACAAAGATCCATCCAAGGGCATTGTGAGGATTCAAAAAGATAAAATATGTAATGTGCCTAGGATATAATATGTTAATTCTACTAATTCTCTTTCCCCTGTTTTGGAATTTCCAAGAAACTGGAGAGACCAGGAGGGATTTTCAGGACTCTGGAAAAATATACTGGTGTCCTGTCCCAACCACTAGAAATGCTCAAAACCAGGCTGGGCCCAGAAATAAGGAGAAGTCCCCTTTTATACAATTTGTGGCATCAGGCCAGTAGAGATACAGAAGCAAAACAAAGGCAGTTAGTTATCCTAGCAGCTAACCTATCTCACTCTTGAACACACGTCCTGTGGATCTCATGATGTTAGGATGCTGGGAAGCTTGTTTATAATCCCATTTGTTAGCTTTACCAGTGTTGGTACCCAGCATTACTCCTCTCAGGGAAGATTACCATGAAGGAACTGCTTAATGTGTCTCCCTTATCAGTGAGAAAAGCCTAGGATGCTGTGAGAAAGCCCAAATGCACATTCCTGAGGGAGGGGCTGCCCAAAGAGTTGCTGCCTGAGCTGGGAACATTTTACAGAGGGAGAGAAAGGCGAAGTATCTCTTCAAGCTCTGCTATTCCCCTGCCTCCCCTTCTACAAGATCAGTAAGTAAAGAAGACATGAAGTAGGAGCTGCTTGTTCCTCACCAAGAAACTCACTTCTTTGAACCTCAGTTTGTGAAAATTTAGACAATTTCATCACATTTTAAAAACTATCAGATAATTTGACACAGGTAAAAACATAGGAAACAAAAGTAGTAAGGTAGAGACACTATTTGGCTACACCCATCCTAAAATTAACTAGACATTTGTATAATCCTAGACCAGCAAGAAAACCACCAGGAATAATGCCAGTGTTCCCACGCTCTAAGGGGCCAATAGCCTTCTGGACTTGAGAACTCAAGAAACTTGAGAAAAACACTCTAGTTCTGTTTTACTTTGTAGAGGAAATTTCACACGGAAAAATTGGGCATTTCATGCCAGCCAAGAAGACCTCTTTTAAAAAGACAGTATTTATAGTTACAATATGCACATTAGAATATGGAAATTTTGAATTATGACCAAGAGCTTGAAAAGTTAGTTAATTTTTCCAAATTTAACATGGAAAAGAAAAACATTTGAGCTTCTGAAGTGGCTGGAATTATAAGAAGCCACTTGGTCAGTCTACCCTAATATTCCTGCTCAAGTCTATGTGACAGAGCTTTGAGAGCTTGTTTCTGGTTTTAGCACTGAAAAGATCTGACTGGATATTTGGGGAAATGGGTCACATTTATTTCCAATTTAATACTTTGAGGGTTTTTTTCCCCTGAGTTATTTGTCAGTTGCAAAAAAAAAAAAAAGTTCTATACCACTCCTTGGGATGATAACAATAGACAGCATTTATTGAGGTATTATGACTTTTCATAAAGCCTTTGGTACATCATGTAATCATCACTACAACACTGTGAGGTGCACACCATCATCTCAGCTTTTATGCCATACAGATTGGAATCTTCTCCAAGGTCACCCATCTGGTAAGTGGCAAAACAAGGATAATTCCCAGGCTTTCTGACTCCAAACTCTGAGCTTTGTCGCTGTCACTGCATTCCTCTTATTTTTATGGCTCCAAATTTTACCTGTCTCAAATTATTTCTGATAGTATATTTAATGTGATCAGATCAAGCATCGATTTTCACAAAGGAGGAAAAAGGCCCAAAGAACTGACTTGCTGATCAAAGAGCAGCCTCCACCTCTTTTGTTTTATGCTTTGCAAACGAATTTTAGGCAAGGCAGTTTTAAATCATCTTCTAACTTCAGCTCATCTTGAGAAGCAGATGAAATTATTTAGATTAAATGGTAACAGCAACCAATATGCTCTGGGGCTACAGAGACTAGTAACAATATGTCATCATACACGTTAATGGATGGTTTCTGCTCTCTTACCATATTGCTATCTCCGAGCCAATAGACAGTCTATTATTACACAGCCTTCCAGAGACACATAAAAAAGGCACAGCCCTCTTCCTCACCAAAGAAGCCTTCATCAAGTAGCCTGCACCCATACTTTCCAGGGTTTTGCCTCACAGCGCAGTGGAAGACTTTGAAATTCACTCTGAATGAGATGGAAAATCATCAAGGGGCCTTGAACACAAGAGTGACATAATATTTTTAGATAGTCATTCTTGCTCTTAAGTAGAAAACAGACTGAAGAAGTTGGAGAAAATAATTAGAAGTAATTTCAGTAATCTAGGTGAGAAATGATGGTGGCTTGGACCACAGTGGTTGGTGGAGGGGGTGGCAAGTCATCAGAGTCCAGATCTACTGCAAAGGTCAGGTCTACCATATTAACAACACACAAGCTACATGATGCTAATGAAGAGAAGTCAAAGAGGACTTTAGAGATTTTGCTTTGAAAAATTGCAAGAATGGAGAATTTTTTTTTAAAAGACAATGTGAAAGACAGATTTTAGGGAGGAAATTAAAGTTTGCTTTAGATGTGTTACATTTGAGATACTTATTAAATGCCCAAGTAGAAAATCTGAGTATGGAATTAAAGAATAACATTCCCCAATTCTTAGAGTCACTGGCATATGGGCAGTGTTTAAAGCCATAACTCTGGATGAGAAAGTGAGTATAGAAAAGAACTGAAGGCATGCCCATGTTCATGGTCAGAAAGATGAGCAGGAACAGCAAAGGAGGCTGAGGTAGAACAGAGAGGGGTATCCCAAAACCAAACAGAAGAAAGGATATAAATGGGGAGAGAGCAATCAACAGTGTCCTACCTGCAGACATTAATAAAGTGAAAGTTTACTTGGGTTTCACACTGAGGCGGTAAATGATGGCTGATAGGAGTTGTTTGACAGGTGATGGGGGAAAGAAGGCAGCCCAAGTCTGATTAAGTGGGTCCAAGACTGAAAAAGATGATGACAACTGAAACCAATGTGTGTAGAGAATCAGGGAAATTGAATGGTTGCCTTATGTTGGGAAATGAGGATTGGGATGTAAGGAGGATTCACTTCATAGTACTTGATGGATAACATCTAAGGCAAACAATGAGTGAAATATTTTAAGCACACTTCTTGCTGGAGGCTTGAGAACCAGTCATTTATCCAGCCAGCTGTTTTATGTGTCCACATCTAAGTAAAATGCAAAAAAGGGTTTGGGCAGAAAGGAAATTGGTGATTTTGGTCTTTACATTTTACTGGATGCATTGATGTTCTGCGCAGAAAGCACACATTTGATAGGACAGACATCTCCTTTTGTCTGAATCAAGTCTGTTCCTAGAAATGTTTCTCAGTAAATTTCCATTATTTTAAATGGTAAAAATAACAAATTATTCCTGCTTCATCCAAGAATTTCAACCTCAGTTCCCTAAATAGCACTACAACACCCTTAGACACCTATACACATGTAATACCCAATGCAGGATTTATGTGCTGCTTTATATAACCATTCACCAAGAATTTCTGCATCATTTTAAGAACTGAAAATACCAATGTTCTAATGCTTATTTACTGGGTATGTCTGGGTACAGCATGGAAAATATGATTCCACATGTAAACTATGTTTCCCTCCATGGTACAATGAATACTTACTAATGTAGTTTAACAGATATGAAGTGTTAAACATAACAACTACAAAAACCATCGAGAAAAATAAACGAGTTTTTGAATGGTTGCGTACTAATTAAAGACTTGCTTAAGTGAAATGCAGTGGGCTGGAGAAACTTGAAGGACTAAATGAACCATAACTGCTTGAGGTTTGCCCACCGGGTAAGTCCTGGGACAATCTCTTAGACACTGGAGACTCTGGAAGTATGTGACTGTAAGCCGTCAAATGAAACTGCAGATGAAGTAATGAGGTGAAAAACCCTCAAAACTTATGTTTCTTTGCATCCTTTTTGTTTTCATTTATACAGCTCTCAACAGCATGAGGGGTTGTGATTGTATTTTTCAATGTGATTTTACTCATGTCACTTGCAACTGAAATTATTATTTTCTCTACGTCACCTCAATTTATTTTGTAGATTTGACATCGAATGTTTATTTCTCCTCTTCTTCTTCTCTGACCAACAATGTCAAGTTGAGCAATTTCCACTTTATTAGAAAAAAACATTTTCACTTGATAATGTGGAGTAGATGCACATATCTAATGCATAACATATTTAAAGAACGTGGTCCAAGGGGAAGATGGACTGAATTACAACAGCTGCTGCGCATCTTATCACGCAGACTCAGACACAGCTTAGACATTTTGTTTGGTGCTCACAGGCAGATGATAGTGGATTTTCAATTCCGATCCTGAGTTTTTGAACAAAAATTGTTTGCAAGTTGTTACAAAGAATGGACAGTGGGAATTCAGGTGGCAAAGGACACCAACAAAGGGTGTTCACTTAGGAGGTAGTGCGGGCCTCGGCATCACACAGTCCTGGATCCACAGCCTGGCTCTCCCACATATGAGCTTGTATGATCCTGGATAATGTAATTAACCTCTATGCACCTCCATTTCCTCAAATGTGAAATGCAGATAGTAATACTCAACTTACAGGGCCATTATATCACCATAGAGGTGCAATGTGGTGTCTGGCACACACATAAAAAGTGCCTGATTTTAAAAAAATACTTCTATCAATGTGTGAGGATAAACCTCAGAAGACTAAAAAGGAAGAGATGAATAATAGAAACTGAATACAGCTTATGCGTTACAGAGGTAATGTGAGGAATACAAAGTTACCATTATGCACAAGAGAATAGAGGGAAAAGCCATGTGTTTAAAGGCAAGACGATTCACTGTTAGTTGCCTTTTTCTTTTTCATCTTGGCATTGTCTTACAAAGCAGAGCCCACTGATTTAGAGTTTCACTGGATGTTTGATAATGTTAGTAAAAAATGAATTCACTGTTTGTTCTTCATCCACACCAATTGTTAGCTCATTAAAGCCTTCTAATAGCCATAGCTTATTGAAATTATGATAGGTACAGGCCAATGGCTATGTTCACACATTTGTATATTCTCTCTAGAGCTCAGTTTATACAGTTGTTTCCACTTGTACAGAGACACTGCAACAGAAGTCTAGTTGCCAGTGTAGCTCTTAGGGCCCAGTGCATCCAGATCTCCCAGATCAGTGTTCCTTGTTTCCTAGGATTGACCTTCTGCCTGTAGTCTGAGGTCATCTGCCTGATTTTCCTGCCTTGTGTCTCAGTCTCCTGAAATTCTGAGCCCCTGTTCAGCAATTGTCTTTCCTTCCCTGGAGATCCTAATGCTGATCTTTGATTCATATCCACTGCTTGAAGTCCTATCACTGAGAAAAAAACATCAGTGAGCCAGGCTTCACCAAATCCTGAACTTTCGGAGCTTTGCCTCTGAGACCTGATCCCCACATAAACCTCCCACCATAGACCCAGTGCATAAACCATACTTCACTAGCTCTTTCTCCAGGATTGGAGTGGGGAGAGGAGGGGAGAATGAAATAAGGACAGTTCCTTGAAGAGTATGAAAGATCACTCATATCAGACAAAGGAAGTAGTGAGGAGTGTGGGCTCTGGAGTCAGACGGCAGGGGCTTGAGTCCTAGCTCACCGTGACCTTACAAATGTTACTGCACTTCTTTGTGGCTATTTCTTCACCTCTAAAGCAGAGATAGTAACAGTGCCTACCTTACAGGCTATTATGAACATTAGGCAAGTTTCTACATGCTCAGAATTATGACTTATGCATATTAAGTGCTAAATAATCCTCAATAAAAATGATCACAAAAAGCTTCCAGCAAACAAATACCACCCAGGTTCCTTAGCATGACATCAAAGGGCTTACACAGTATTTTTTTTAACTATAAAATGGGGGTAGAGTTTCTATTACCTTATTGGAAAATTTTGATCTGGTGGAAAAATGGCAACCAATAAATATTAAGTTGTTTTCAAGGTATTGAACTAGATGATCTCTATGTTCTCCTCCAGATCTAAATTCTGCAATTGCTACACTTACTATCTTCCCCCCTTGAAATCTAATCATTATATCTAATCATTCTCTGGCCTTGAGAGAGGCTTTTACCTTTACAGTTTTTCAATGTTTTACCATATGAAATTTTATTAAAATATATTACTGTCTTAATATATCAAATTCTGTTTTAATATATTAATGTTTTGATATACTGTTTTTCTTTCCTTCTCTCTCACTCTCACTCTCCCCGTATGGTTGTCCAGACCCAAGGTCTTGGGACAACTCCAGGGATGTGTTCGGACAGTGAGAATAATATGTGCAGAGCACTCCAGGGACTGTGCTGTGCAGCATCCCTCCATCCACCACTGGCTGACTCCTTTCTCAGGAAGAGTGCGATTCACCAAGCAAGGAATAGTCTCCAGCTTTCCTTGGGTCTGGAAAGCGGTGGGCCACGGGATCTCCACATTCATGATCTTTCCTGTTTTGTCACAGACTTTGCAAATGGGCATCAAGCATTTCTCTGGACTCTTCGTGCTGCTGTGCATCGGATTTGGTCTGTCCATCTTGACAACCATTGGTGAGCACATAGTGTACAGGTTGCTGCTACCACGAATCAAAAACAAATCCAAGCTGCAATACTGGCTGCACACCAGTCAGGTGGGTGCTTCAAGTCTCTTGCACTAATATTCTCATACTTCAGAATTCCAAATGAAGAAATGATCTGTACTGACAGACACCATGTTATCCGACTTCTCTCGGCACTTTACCAAGGGAATGAGGGTGGCGTAGGCACTTTCAGTTACAAGATGGATTTCCCTCTATCCCACGAATTCACCTTCCTCTTATGCTATCCCAGTGTCCCTTCTGCTCCCCAAAGCCTCCTCTGCTGCTCGTAACGGACACAATAGAATTGTTTTTAATCAGATTTCACTTAATAGTGACAACCCAAAGAGATGCTGTGAAAAATGTTTCCCACATTTTCTTGTTAAAATTAAAACCCTATAAATGAGCTTGAAGTTCCTGTTCCCCTTTAGGTGACTCCATTTGCTCCTGTTCTCTTTTCTCTGGCTCTGAGGCTTGAGACCTCCTAGTGCCAAGGACAAGCCACACAGGACCTCAGTTCTTCCCAGTAGACAACAACACAGGGATGGATTTATGCGAAGAAGCAAAGTGCTGACAGACTGAGCACTCAGGCACAACAGTTTGCACATTTCTCTCCAGGAAATTAGGATGGAGGGCCGGGGCTGAGGTATCTTTTGATGGAGGGACTCCAGCAAAGAACGTGATTTCACCTGACCAGGGAGTGGATGCACTGACTCAGCCTCCCCACGGAGGGCTCCCTCCTGCCTCCCACTAGGCTCTGGGTCTCCTCTCAGCAGCCAGGCTGCCAGTTGTGCCACTTTTGCCCCCTATTGCTGACCTCCTTGCTTTGTTAATGCGGTACCTTTTCCCTGCTAGATGTTTCTCTCACTGATTTAGTTACAACTGAATTCTATTCTTCCTATTTTCATCTGGGAAAATTCTGCAGACAAGTGATGTTCTCCGTTCTATGATAATATGATTACCTTAATTCCCAGGAGTTCTGCTTCCCTTCTTTGTCTTGGTTTCCAAGAAATTCACACTTACGATTTTGACTCTTCACTAGCAATTGCATAAGGACTTTAGCTATGCATGAGTTATGATAGCGTTTCTTTCTATCACATTTCTAAGCTTTTACCAGATCTCTTTGCTTTTCTGCCAGGTAGAAAAATAATTTAGAATTTCTGTCCTAGAGATTAGGGGCTGAATGTTGATCCACTATCAGGCAACCCTGGAAATTTGGTTAAAGAGGCCAAGGTTTGCAGCAACTAGATACTCCATTAAATCTCAAGTGGTACTTTGTCCTCTGACCCGTGTGCTTCTAATGATCTCTACCTTTGAATCTGTTCTTTCCACCAGAGATTTCACAGAGCATTAAACATGTCATATGTAGAAGAAAAGCAGCAGCGGTTCAAGACCAAACATGTGGAAAAGAGGTAAGAAAAGATCAATGCCAGCTATCTTTGTATCTGCTAAAATAAAAGTTTAGGGATGTAGCTGGAATCTATGCTCAGAAGAGAATTTATATCTAAATAATGATTCAGATCAAATCCAGTTGATTTGTTGATAAAATCAATATAAATACATGTAGTTTCAGACAGAACAAAATAAAACATAAACAAATATAGACACTGAAATGCAACAAAGTCAAAATAATCTCATGGCTACAAGTGCAAGTGCGGACTGTGGAGCGGAGCATCGTGTGTCCAATCCTGTCTCCATCACCCGTAACACGTGCCGTCTTGGGGAAGTTATTTGACCTTTATTGTGCTTCAAGTTTCTCACCTGGGGAATTGAGATAAAAACAGTACCCACAGCCAGGCATGGTTGCACATGTCTATAATTCCAGCACTTGGGGAGGTTTAGGCAAACCCAGCCTGGGTAACTTAGCAACTTAGGAATCCTAACTTTGCCTCAAAATAAAAGATAAAAAGAGCTGGGAATGTAACTCAGTCCAAAGACCCTGGGTTCAATCCTCAGTACCACAAAAAAGGGGGACCCACTTCCTAGAGTTGTTCTATGAATTAAATGAGATATTACTTGTAAAGGTCCTGAAAAGGTCTTTAAAATATTAGTTATTGTTATATACAAAATAATAATTGATGAGTATTTTAGGCAATTAATTTTATGGGATATTATCTTTGCAGGTTTCCAGCCCCCATCCCTTTCCAGCACTGCAAGAAATATTTGAAATATGTGCTAACCATGTCCTGCCTCATCTATTCCTGACACTCTTTGAAATCCCTAGAAAAGAACACTTCGTTAATTGGAAGTAACATCCATTAAATGCATCAGTGACACTTAAAAATTCAGATTTTACACCTTCACCATAGCCAGCCTGGGGATGGCAGCTGCCTTATTGGTAGTGACTGAAGATGATAAAAGCATTTCAGTCTGGTTCCCGGTGGCCTCTGTTGCCTGCTGCCCAAGGCAGCCCTCCTGGTCCTGTCAAATGCCCAGAGGCCTCAGAGGAGGGCATCAGCTGTAGCAACTCAGCCATCTGTGGCATAGCCTCAGCTCAAAGCTTGGCTTTCTGGGTAGGTTTGAAATCTGACACTCACACTTCTCATTTAGAATGGGAAAAAAAGGGGCAGACAACATGATTTTTTTTTCCTTCTTTGCTTATTATATCTCCTCTGGGGCTGCCGCGGTCCTTTCTCTCCAGGTTACAGAGAGCTTGTCAGAATCACTCCCATTGTCTGTTAAAACCTCTCTTTCTAGTCCGTGGGCACTCCCTGCCTCCTCTCAATCTGTGTTATCCCGGTATCATTGGGCAAATCAGCTAGCGACAAGCTATAGACTAATCAGGTCACAACTGCTCTGTGTCATGTTACATAGATTTGGCTATAATTATTTTTAACATAAACTTTAACCAGAGGAACACAAGAAGACACTGAAGCAAAGATATCATCTTACAATGACAAAATACGTGTTTTCAGCAAGAATAGAAACAGGAAGTGCTGTGTCCTGCACAGCTCTTGAGGTTTGAGGGGCAGAAGAGGACAGTGAGAGGATGAAGAAATAAAAGATAAGAGATAGAAAGCTGAGGTCAGGTCGAGCCTTCTCTCTGGCTGGGGGCCGGGGGAGGAACTGCTTACCCATCCTAGTGCATTCATTCATACTCTCAGGAGATTGATGTCCATGTCAACCCCTCTACCTAGCAACTTTGCATACCAGCCTGAGCACCTCACTATCTTGGAGCTGGAACTTACTTTCATGGCTTGCCTCAGGAGCTCTCTGTTCTCCGGCCTGCCTTGCCTCAGCCAGGCATTGTGATCAATCCCAGCCTCAGCTACTCCCTACAAGGAAGCCCAGTGATCCTATTTCAAATGTGACACGATTCTTACATCTCTCGCCTCAATTTAGAGCCAAATGTGTCTGCTCACTCAACTTCCAACCTAGAGAAATGGGACTGCAGTAGCTGCCAAGGAGATACAAACAATGAAAACAAATCAGGTTATCGATCCCATTTTCTTGTTATGAATGAGGTACTAGTGTCATGGACCTACATTTCCTGGGCCCACCTCCCTATAATCCAACACCTACAATCTTCCTAACACAGTAGGTCTTGGGGGTCTCGCAGCTGTCAGGTTTCTTTTGAATGAGTCCAGTGAAACACTGAACCTCAGTGTTCCATAATTGCTTTGTAGATGCCAGTTTTGCTCATTTTTAGTGTGAAATGTTGGTCGCTAATTGGTTATGTTATGCTCTTAAGACTGAAGGATACTTGATATAAAACACAACGTAAACATTACTGAAGCCAAGAGTATCATATTCATTCCATCCACTTAGACCCTAACATTCAGTATCTATCACCTTGATCCACATATCCATCATAAGATCATGGTGATACTGGAAACTAGTTTGTCATGAAAGAATCCAGCTCTTGCTTATTCTTCTATATTATATTCCCAGGTAGATAGCCAAAGCTCTGGAGAATACCAGACTGGCTATCTCTGCTTACCTGATCACTGAGGTTGCCGGGACAGTTCAAGAAAATGGGTAGATTCTCTACTCCCAGGTTTTCCCCACTATTTATCATCATTCCGTGGTACCAGTTATGTCTGCTGGCTTGAAAATGCTCTCCATTTTCTTGGAAGAATATCTATGCAAACGAATGCTCATGCCTACTACAAAGAGACATCCTCCCCTATGTTCCATACTTATTGAATAGGGAAGATAAGTGAAAAGATAAATAATGAAATGAAAGAGTAGGATATGAAAGAATAAATGAAAAGATAAAATAAATGAATGAAAAGATAAATTAGTTATTAGCAATGAGCTTGAGGAAAGGCTTGGACAAATTTGGGCTATATAGAGAGGCAGATTTTTTTTTTTTCTTGAATGCAGAGAAAAAGTGGATGTTGGAAGAAACTTTTAGATATCTAGTTCTTGATTCATTCAATGTGAAAAATTAAAGAGAACTATAAAGTATAAGAAAAATTACGCCTGTATCTTCTCTCCATTTCTAATCTAAAGTCAGTGGAGATGTAAGTGCATTCATTATAGAACTTTTACCTAGCCCAGGATATAGGAAAACTGAACTCAAGAGCCCTCTGCTTGTTCATATGAAAAAAACTAAGAAAAACGTTAAAGTTTGTGGGTATTTATGGCCTGGATAAATTTTCAGTTGTTTTTTTTATTTTTTGTTTTTTTGAGACAAGGTCTTGCCATACAGTTCAGGCTACTCCTGAACTAACGATATAGCCCAGGCTGGCCTCAGACTTGCAGTAATCCTCCTGTCTCAGCCTCCAGAGTGCTGGGATTACAGGCATGCACCACCACACCCAGCTTTTCAGTTGGTGTTGCTGTGAGAAATCGTGCCACTATTTAGTGTTCGCAGCAGCAGTGGGTTGCTTACAAATCCATGGTGTGCTGTTTGCTGATCTGAGGCAGACTTGGCTGAACTGAGGTGAGCTTGCTCGTGTATCTGCAAGCCAGCTTGGGGAGTGGGGAGCAGCTAAAGGCTGTCTAGTCTATGACAGCCTCAGCAGGGTCAGTTGGGAAGATGGAGGACCTTCCACATGATCTATCATCAGTGAGCTGAAGGGGACTTGTTCACATTGTGGCAGCAGGTATAGGACAGAGAACAGTAGAGTGTAATGCTTCTTAACAGTTTAGGCTTAAAACTTCCAACTTTTCAACTGCTCAAAACAAATTATGAGACAAGACCTCATTCAAGGAGAGAGTAAGCAGGCTCTGCATCCTGATAGAGATGAGCAGCAAAGTCACATTACAGAGGGACATGGGTAAAAGGAGGAATAAAGGATTAGACCACTTTTGCAATCCACCACTGGGCAAAGCAAAACAGAATCATCCTATTAAGTCTTTGTGGTTCTGTTCCCAGCCATGTAACTGTATCACAATCTTATTATCTGTGCATTGCCCTTGGCCCTCCAGATCCTCCCCTTCTTCTCTTCCTGGCAAATAAAAGTTCAGGAATAAAGTCAATTCAGTTATATGGATGGCAATAAAAACACAAGAGTTTAATAGAGTGTTCCTAGCGTGCTGTGGTCAATTGCAAAGTGGCCATAGTCCTCTTCCTCTTCTTTCTTCTCACAGGGTAGAAGAAAATCAGCAATTACACTGCTTGTGGCTCTAATCTGTACTTGTGAGAAACTCTTCTCATTGCATTCACCTTGCAAAGTGTATTTCAGAAACAAAATCAATGCGTCCAGTACCTAGCTGGCAATGCCTTTCTGCTTACAGCCACTTCTCCATGAGGGTAATAGGTGGTACAATGTAAGCCTGAGAGGGGATTACAAAGCTGTTTATATTTGACTTTCATTACCCTAGCAAGAACCTGGGGACTTTGGGGGGTTTTTAAACACCAGACCTGACTTGTTATTTTCAATCCACATAAAGCCATTCCTATACTAAAAACACTTTGCTGAAACCTGTGGCTTACATACTTTTATTCTTCCAAAAATCAAGTAGCAAGCATCAGCAAGGCTTGCTGGAATTAAACACGAGCCATACATAGTAATATCCACCAGCAGACTGATGCTAAGAGTACAATATCTGAATAAATCTACTTTCACTCTTACTAAAGCATCATCTTTACAGCTAAAAGATGTTTCAAGGCACTGCTGCTTTCTAAACTTTGCCTGAATGAAGGGAATAAAAAAGTTTTTAAGGTTCCTCTCAAAAGAATGTGCCAGAGCCGTTTTATCAGAGAACACTAATCTCAGTTTCAAAGTAGCATAAGACTTGGTAAGACCTTCAACTTCAATGGAGAGTTCACGGCTTCTACTGTCCCTGTGACACTCTAGCAAGCAGTCTGAACATGGCTTGGTGACTTCCTTTCTAAATCCATGTCCAGTTCCATACTATCCCTGCAAAGGTGTCCAACAGGTAGGGAACAGCACTTTGAGAGCTGCAGAATGGACTGTGAATCTCAACTGACTCTCTGTTTCATAGGACCAGCATGGGACCCCATCAGCTCACGGTGTGGAATACTTCCAATCTGAGTCATGACAACCAACAAAAATACATTTTCAGTGACGAGGGAGAACCACACCAGCTGGGCATACAGACCCAAGACATCCCTCTCCCCACAAGGAAAAGAGCGCTCCCTGCCACGGTGACCACCAATGGGAAAGCGGACTCCCTCAACCTAGCTCGGAATTCAGTGATGCAGGAACTCTCAGAGCTGGAGAAGCAGATTCAAGTGATCCGCCAAGAGCTACAGTTGGCTGTGAGCAGGAAAACGGAGCTGGAGGAATATCAAAGGACAAATCGGACTTGTGAGTCCTAAGCAATCACATTGCTTCCTGTTGTTCTCTGCTCCTGGCATTCCTGAGCCCTTGAGACACTTTGTAATGCTCTTTTGTAATGCCTGACAAAGGTGTGGGGAAGCTGAGGTCTAAGCCTTTAAGTCTGCTCCCCCAACCTCCCAGGCAGCAGCAGCTCTTCCCAACTCACCCCCTAGGTCTCCAGGGTAGGAATCTTTTTCATAGCAGGAGTCTGAAGTTGGTCAGAAGTAAACTCCATGTCAGGCATCTGTGAACAACCAGACAATTCCAGCTCCTGTTTCTTCACCAGGTGCCACAGTAATATTTCTGGTTTTTAGCCCTTTCTCTGCACTATTAACAACAAAAGATGAAGTTGCTATTCATACCTATGTTTTACTAAATTGTTGGTCCTAATCTTAATATAGAATAGGGTTATCCAGGGTTATGAACACAATTCCCCAATGTAGATTTGTTCTACACTCGGAGTAGGGAGCAGGATAACAGCTAGAGGAACTTGGGGGAGTGAAGATACTTAAAGTTAACTGAACTCAAAATCGTGCAGGCAAGGGTTGATTGGATCAGGGAAGAGGGACATTCTTGGAAATAAGTGTGGATCTCTGGCCCCATCTTAAGAGTAGGAATGTTTTTCTACTCACCATTATGAAAGGGGACAGGGAAGCGGTGAATGAACAGGTAGAAGGGACATTATAAATGCATCTCCACACTTGCAGAACAAAACTTTTGGGCCAGAAATGCAATTTGGCTAAGGAATGAACAGGACTACACTTCTAATCTAGCTAAGCATCTCCAGGATAGAGTGTGCCTTTTAAAAGGAATCAAAAAAAGAAAAGCAAAGTGCGGTTGTGACCACAGGATAAAGCTGGAACACTCCTGCTTATTGCCTGTAACAGGGGCGGTGAGCTGGCACTATGGGCTAAGTACACTGCATGCCACATTCGAGGCCATTTTCAGATCAACAGTCATCTATCAGCCGCAGCACCCCCAAAGTGAATGGAGCCTGTGAACATCTCAAGTTTCAACATTCAAGAGTCTGCCCTGTGCTTCTCCTACCTGTAGTTATCATCAACTCAACCTCCCATCCTCACACCCACTCATCTCTGAGGAGCCCAGTACAGGTTTTGGCTGCCCTCATTCTCCAGGACCCACTAATGCCCACTAAAGCCGGGTGTAAGTACCCAGGTTCCACCCTGTCTAGGAATCCTTCTGCCAAAGTACAACTGCTTGAGCACACAGAAAGGAAAGGAATACTGGGAACTCCAGAACCTCAGCCCCCCAGGATTAGCACAGTTAAGAGTCACCTAAGGAACTCTTATGAGTGCTGACTGCCAGGACCCTTCCACAGAGATTACAGGAGGACACGGATCCGGTGGAGGGCTGAAAAACCTAGTGTTAACCACACACCTGTGACACATACAAGATAGTCTAAAATTATTCCTGGAGAAATGTTGCTCTGGAAGTCTGGACGCCCGCAAGCATAGGAAGGTGTGAGGATGAAACGGGGTGGAGCAGGGGTTGCATACTGGAGACAGGAGGAAACTTTTTAAACTTCAGCACACATCTAAACCTCTACCACGGCCCCGGGACACCATTTAAGACTAAATTTCCTTATCAGTTACTGCTTTAGCCTCTCGATCCTCTACTCAGTCATTCTGAATACATTTACAGCGAGTTCACCACACTGAGCCAATCAACACGCAGATCATTAGAAAGGTGTCCCAGTCACAAAGTTCCTTTCCTAACTTCTGAATACAATGTCTGCATTTCCACCCAGAGCTACCCAGGGAAAGATAACACCTTAAGCTTTAGATGACATCCGAGCAATTAGTTAATAGGCTGGGAAAACCCAGGAGTAAAGGTAAGCTTAGATACCGATTTAAGTTTCACCAACCAACCAGATCAAACAGTTCACAATCAGGGAACAAAACTGAGCTCTTAAAAACAAAGGACACTTCACTTTGAAAAACTCTGTCCTCCCGTGTTCTCACCCCAGGCCCCAAAGTAGATGTACAGCTGCCGGTGGAAGATTAACCCTGACACCGCTTATCTGCAACCTGAGACTCTGCGCACCCGATGTCTGCACAGCACAGAAGGCTGATGTACAGGTGTACCTCAATTCATGGAACAGCCATGCTCCTACTGTTGTACATGGACATTTTTGTAACTCAATTCATATTCTGACTGTACCTGAGAAGCTGGCTATCTAAGGGAACCCAGAGGTGAAATTTTTTGTAAAGTATAGATTCCTTTTGTAATGCAATTCATTATCCCTCAATGTACCTGTTTTGTAAGTTTGGATTTTTGTATATCGGGTTTACCTTAAGCTTCTCTACAGAGATGCCAGACTGCCCTGCCTATCCACAGTTGAAGACCAGTGCATGCTCCTCACGTATCTTCTGAGGAACTACCCAGCCAAAACAGTGGCCAAGACGCAGCAAGCAGCAGCAGGGGCTGAAGGCAGGCTTACTGCTGCCAACACTGCTTGAAATACTTCCACGTCCCGGATAAAGCAAAACCGTAATTGCTTGTGGTGAAATGAAGCAGTCTTCATGTGAAGTAACAATGGTTTTCTCATTGGTAGTACTTGAACAGTATTTTGCAATTTGTGAAACTGTGTCTTGTGTTTTGTAAAAAGATTTCATGAAAGGGTGGATCCCTGAAAACCTCTTTTCTGTTCTGTTCCACCTCGGTTCTCTCAACCCCTCCTCCTCAGGTTCAAAAGAAAAATCAGAAACCTTCACATGGAGGGTTTTATTTTGGTAGAGAGCGCAAGGATGCCGCTGCCTCCTCTGGTGGGCTCCCACTTCGTGAGATCAGGAAGGCCTCCATTCCCTTTTATACCCTGGTACCGGGGAACTTGGAACACAACAAACTGTGTCTCCCACTGCAGGAAGACTGAGTAAGGTGGAACATACAGGGCTACTACTCAGTTTGTGAAAGTAAGGGTCCCAAAGTACGTATGCCACAAACAGAAAAGGAGATTCCTCCAACAGATAAAAACAAGTTGGAAGAAAGACTGGGATGGCCAAGTGTGGCAGCCACAGGGACCCGGTCAGTTAAGGGTTTTCATGTGCCTGGAGGTGACTCCATTACTCATGAATCTTGTTGATGCCAACTTTGTAAGGGAGCTGCTGCTCCCCACACAGCCTGGCCCAAGAAGTGAAAAGTGGAGCAGGCACCAAGCAAACAGGGCTATATCGCCTGGGTAACAGACTTCTCGGCACTGGGCCTGTTAGGGCTGAGGAGCAAGTTCCACACTCCCTTGGTATAAAGAATAAAGAAACTACTTTTGAGCCTCTTTTGTCCCCACTCACATTTTTACAAGCAAGCCAAAAAATCCAGTCTTCGGCAGAAATTGCTTTCCAGTTCATTCCACTTCACCACCTGCAGTTTAGCTACTTCTTTCCTCACTCACCTAAACCATCCAGCCAATCCAGGATCCCCTCACTTTTCTTTCGGTCACTAAACATTTTATGAAAATAATGTATTTATGAGTATTTTCTTAAGGATCGTGAAGAGTACTTGCATTGTGTCCTCATTTTCGTGTGTTCGCAAGCGCTCCGCTCCAAGAACTGAAACGCTGTCTTGTGGGCATGAAGTAATTGGGCTGCTTCGCTCCAGCCACTTTTCTTGTACAACCACGTGGAGGGACTCAATGTCCTCAGGTCTTTTCCATCTTCAGTTTCTATGACTGTGGAATAAATGTTCAGACAGAAACTTCGCCTCTACATGTACGGCTGGTATTTGGGGATGCGAATGTTGAAAAGGTATCAGCTCTGTTGTACAGGAGACCTACTAAAGCTCTCACTTGTCTGTTTCCTTGGTATAATCTAAAGTAGCACAGGGCAGTCTCAGAAAATTCAGAGCGCAAATTTCATGAAGCACAACTGAAATGGCTTCATCTGAAAGATCTTCTAGGAAAAAAAACACAACACTCAAAGACCTCTAAAAACTCTGCCCTGACATCCTCATTGAGTAACTCAACATTTGTGAACTAGGTTCCATTTACATGCCAACTACTGGACAAACAATAGTGGACAAGGAGGGTACAGTCTGCTTGAGACCTTCTTGCAATCTGATCTCTTCACAACCCCTTAAACAGACAAAAATAGGTAACATTTATTGGGCACTTATAAATCAGGGTCTCACTGAAAAATTACAATCAGTCTCATTAGATAGGTAATTCAGATGTATTCTAGAGGAGGCAAATGAGACCTCTAGTTTACGGGTGAAAAAACCAAGTCAGAGAAACTACCTAACCTGCCTGAAGTCACAGTTAGTAACAGTACTAGCAAGAGATTCATATGCAGACAGTGTGACTACACAATACTGATAGGATTCTGATCACTGCCTTCCTCCCCCTCCAACACACTTTGAATTCTTCTCTTACTGCCTACTCCCTTGTCTCAGTCTGGCCCCCAGTTCTACACAAGAGATAAGCTGACACAACTGTATTTGCACTGATCCATTTATTTCCAGCACAGCCCCATATGTCCCCCCAAAATAATATTCAGCATCAATTCTCTCAGCTTGCTAGCTGGACCAAGAAGTGGTGCACAGTTGCAAGTCACGCAGCAGTCCTGCAGTTCCGGGCATGTTGGCAGTTTCTGACATTCCAGGCAGTTTTGGCTGCTGACAAATGAATCTGCTAGCCCGATGTATTCTTCACACGTATTCTTTTGAAAAGTCAAATTTCATAAGAATATAAACCTGTCAACCTAGCCAAGGCTGCATATTTCAACTGTTTTTAGATGTCTGCTATGAGCCAGCCATTGGAGTAGCTGCTCCAGATAGAAAAATGAAAGCAGATCCTGATGGCATGGTCCCATGGAGCTCAGTCTTACAGAGGGACACATACTGGTAATACAATGCAGTCACACACTAATTACTATGGAAACAAAGAAGACTCTGTGTGTGTGTGTGTGTGTGTGTGCGCGCGCGCGCACGCACGCACACAGGTAGATAAGGTGGAGGAGAACAAGCATCTCAACTACGAGGCACAACATGTGCAAAGTTCCACCACGGCAATCAGAACTGGAGAACTTCAAATAGTTCAAAATGACAGAAATACACACAAAGTAGACGACCAGCTTCCTGAATGGGAACAGAAAACCAGACATAGATCACTCTGCTAAATTCAACTTGTATCCAGAAGACTATAGGAACTTTTTGTTCAAGAATTTTAAGTTCACAGAAGCCAAAGTTAACTTTTCGATGTTTTAGAACGAGTTGGTCATGACATCATTTAACCAGAACAGGCAGACTAGAGGTAAATAGGCACAGATAAAAACATGTGGGCTAGATTTCAGGGCAGATATAATAAGACTTTTATTTTCCTAGGAATAGGAAAAACATGTACGCAGAAAGAAAATTTACCTCTCAGTTTTATTACAACATTAGTTTTTTACTGAGCATTTAATAAACACCAGGCACTATACGGAATACATCCTACATACTGATTCATTTCACTCCCAGTGCAATCTCATCACAGTCATTTTTTTACAGACAAGAAACTGAAGCAAAGGTGTACTGCTGAACCTCTAATGGACCCAGAAACAAAGAGCAGTACTTACCCAAGGTCTGCCTACTTACATCTGAATTATCAGGATATAAATGCTAGGTTTCTGTATATCTTCACAGAGACTTCGAAATTACTCAGAAAATACAAGTACTTCTTATCTTCCTGATGACAAACACTATGGGTACAAGTCTCCACTTACTCTGTGCCTCAACTGGGCGACCCTGGAGCTCATTTCCTCTTCTCTAAAGTACAGATGTGGTGTGAGTGGTCCAAGGTCCTTTTCAGCTCTCACAGCCTACCTTTCAAATCACTCCACTCTATATGCAGCACTGTGAAGTCTTCCAGGCATAGTATTATTGTGAATACACTACTGTTCAAATTTTGATCACAACTTCTCTCAAAAACCCTACGATAAGAGCTACGGATGTGGGAATGTAGCTCAGTGGTACAGCACTTGCTCAGCATGTGCAAGGCCCCAGGTGTAATCCCCAGTACTGAAAGGGGAAAAAAAAAAAAAAAAGAACCTACATAAGAGGCTGTTATAGGCTACCTCTACAGAAGTGACAGTTTCAAATTCATAATTCCTTTTGCTACAACCATAAAAAATTTAAAATACAATCATAAGTATCAGGATAACCCCAGTTTGAAAAACTACTTCCATATATGAGAAAAGATTGTTTCCACTTAGGGAATGAAAAACCAATGAGTAGTAAGGTTTGAATGAACAAATTGATCCAAAAAAGCAGACAACTGAAGATCTGGCAGCAGAATGAGGTTGAATTAAATCATGGAAATATTCACTGAGTACCATTTGTCTTCGCTAGATAATGGGAATTTCATTTTCAAACATTCTTTTAAAAGTCAAATTTTAGTCATTGTTAAGTATGCTATCAATAAGACCTTACTTGCTAAGGTTGGGAAGAGATCAAACATGGGGCAGAAATCCCCAAAAGGTAAACCTCAATTTTTCTTTGTCAAGGGAAAATCAAGTGTTTCCTAACTTTAAGATCTAGGAATTTTCAAGGATTTCCCTACCAGGTAGTTTCCATGGTGTTATTCCCACATACACACCACCCACCCACATTCTGCTTACTCAGTGGAGCTGTCTTAAGTCGGCTCTGTAAGTGGGCCAGGAAGACTTCTTGGACAGTAAGTAACTAGCCAAAATGTTCCTGCAGACCACCTGGGACTTGGGTTTATCAATCGACTTGAGTTTACACCCCCTCCCTGCAAAAAAACCCTTAAAGAACAAAATTTAAAGGCATGCCACCAGCAAATGGCTGACACTGGGGATAGAGATCAGCATATAGTGTCCTGCAGAAACAAGGACCACCATCCCAGTAGATCTAAAAGACAATCATATCTTTATTGTCACAATATCACATCACTCTCATCACTCCAGCAGCATGCGCATCATTCTATAGAGACAGAACTTTTGTCATTGAAAAACAAGGACACTTGAGAATCTGGGCAAAGAATGAAACAAGGAATCCGGTGAAAATTCATGAAGCATTTAGAAGCTAGCAGAAACAGCTTAGTATTTTTGAAAAAAAAATCCTTACAGTAAGTAAAAAGAGCCAAGCCACATAAAGATGCAAGCTTTACAGCAAGCTTGATTTTCACCAAAATTGGTGAGAAATTTCCAGGGTAACAACAAAAGGAAATATTTAAGAGACAAACCCTACAAGATATGAAATGTTTAATAAGCTTCTAGTACATCTATATAATCACTGAAATTGATATTTATAGATGTTACTTTAAAGAAATCTCTTTAAAGTTCAAATAGATCTATAGTTGTGGTTTCTAATCTTAAGGAGACTGTCAATTTTCCAAATTTCTTTAAGAATCCCAAAAAGCTAAAACTAATATACATACAACTCAAGTGAAATTTGATGTACCATTCGGTAATTCATAATAGCCCATTCACTTACTATTTCTACAGTCAGAGACACTAGACTGCCAAAAAAAGGTTCTTTTTTGGTCATTATTTGAAATGACTGATTGCTCACTCTGTATCATGTGGACCTGAACTTCTCAACTAGAGGAGTTTCCCCAAAAACTGGCTTCCCAGGGGATTAGTATTTTCTTCCACAACATTCCACAAGCCCCATGATCTCCTGGTACGGGGCAGCTGGCTTTCTCAGTCAATTGTCATAAACAGTTAACGTCTACAGCCAAACCACCTGCTGGCCAAGCAGTCACTGCCCCTCAATCAACAAAGTTATACTCAAGCTTCTCCTATAAAACAACCAGTCAGCAAGGAAAAAAATGTCCCATTACTGAATAGGAATGCATGATGTGTCCAGAGCAGGCGGGTTCATCCCATCGGGGTTAGGGGTGGGTGAGTGAGTGGGTGAGTGAATGGGTCTGTGTGTGTGTGTGTGTGTGTGTGTCCCAGTTAGACTCCTTTTTTAACCCATATCATATGACTATGAAATTCATCACAAATCTTACTAATTACAGCCGATAACTAAAAAAGGACATCTTCTAGGACGGGTAGGGGATCAAGAGAGATCCACTTTCTATGATTCCATACCAGAGAGAGGAAATTTCTGGTTCATTGGTTATTATAAAACTAATAATTCAAGAACCACCAACCTAAAAGTGCCAGGCAGTGACATACTCCCTAAAAAACAAACCACTGAATCTTATCCACCATGGTTAACTATGGAAGAGAATTCAGTAGTCAAATAAACCATCATCTTTTAGGTATTCTCTCTCCTCAGAACACACTCATTCAAACAGCTGGAGCAACTACTTCAGTTAAGCAGAGAACGAAATACTTTAAACACAGCTGCCCTCTTAGTCCAAGATAATTACTTCTATTTAAGAGAATTCATTTCTAGAATAGAAAGTATAAAATTAACTAGTAGTAACAAAGAAAAACGTTTAAAAGGAAAATCACAAACACAAAAGACTGAATCCTGCTTTAATTGAAGCTTGTGAAGTATGAAGTCCTACAGAAACATTAGAGAGAATCTTCTGGAAACCAGGGATCAGCACAATCCCTGCAGAAAGGGTATGAGTAATTCATAGCTCACCCAGACCTCTGTTTTAATTTCCCAGAGTACCCAGAGCTCTTCACTATCTCATTCCATTCCTCATCTTCTCCCAATTTTGATTTCATTAGAAGACAAAAGTGGCTATAATAGTTCAAAATTGTTCTGGCCTCAAGAAATTTAAGCCTTTAAGTAGTTAAACATTAAAAATTTAAATACCTTTAACAGAAAGCCAGCTGACCTTAAAAGTTACTTTGCTAGCAAATGAGAAATGGATTGAATTATCCTGGATATAATTTCATTAAGGCTTCAAACAACCCAGGAAAGAAGAGCACAATTATATCATCTTATAATCCAAGTTTAGAAAAATTTTACTATCAAATGAAGAAAAGTCTGCACCCATGGATAGCTTATTTCCACAAAGTCATTTCCCCAAAATAAGAGTGCATCTGTCCTCTTTGTTCCTTTCTCCACATCAAAAATACCAACTTGGTTTCTCAAGTGTGGACAATCCAAGCTTATACAATGGACCCAAACCAAAAATGTTTCAAGTCTCAAAGCAAGAAATAAACAAAGCTGGTAGGAAAGACAAATATGAGTTTGTTTCTAATTCATTTTAAAACCCCAAACTTGCATTTACCAGTCCCTTCCCCTGAAGTCATCTAGCTGCTAGAGAGGAGAACCTGGACGTGAAGTCTGAGGAGGAAAGGGAACTGAGAGAAGAGGTAGAGGTTTGGCGGTTAATGAATAAGTGCCTGTCTGGCCAGGTCCTCTTCTGCTCTTGAACTGGATCAGCCAATGTATATGCGGTGGAAATCATTGGCACCAAAAGCAGCATTACACTTGGGACATTTGCGCTGACGGGTGTCATAGCGCGTCTTCACACATTCAAAACAAAAAACATGGAAACATTTGGTAAGTACAGCGTCCTTTTTACGCATGTTGCAGCATGGACAGGTCAAACGTGCCTAAAAAAGAAAGAAGTCAAGAGTGTAAGCAACCATAAAAATCAAATGGCTCTCATATACAGTGTAGCTTGGTTCATGAATTTAATTCATTCCATGATTCGGTAAAAACCACAGTCACATTCATGACCTGATGCAGAGTTTGCAAACAAAAACAAATTTTGCCAATTGCTTCTGTATGCAAACTAAATTCATTGCAAATAAAAGTGTTCATGAACCGAGATGCCACTGTTCAATGCAATAAGACAACAACACTAGGGCAAGAATACCACCTCCCCTCTCAAAATCAAACATTCTCCGGTAACCTTCATGCAAAGAAATTCAGTGTTTATTCTAATACACTGGCAGATCACTTCAGGCCGTGACAGAAACCACCCAGAAATGACTGAGGGAGTTTCTCTAACCTTGTAATCCTTAATCTCCTCCATCAGAATCTCATCACATTTGGGTACGTTGTCTGGTTTCTTTGTAGTCTCTAGCTTCCTTCGAAGTCGAGAGATGTCCTCCTGTGGCAAGACAGCAGACCAATTTATACAGTCTTTCCCTAGCCAATCTTTCTACTGTGGGAGGAAAGGATTTTCCCATTATCTTTAGGAATGTGGAGAATTATAAATGAGTAAGGTATTTTCTCTCTTTCAAAACAAGTAACTAATCATATTCCTAAATCAGAATGTACCAACTACTGCCAACTCAGGCCAATGAAAACACAATCTAAAAATTTAAAGGACAGGTCACTTTACTTTAAAATGACTAGTTTTAAGATGAGGATAGACTGGGATAACAATAATTTCAAGATTTATAAATAAGGATAGAAAGGCATCATGAAAAATAAATGACATGACAAAAAACAGAAGAATTTCTAAATTTTCTAATGCTGTTTATACTATTTAATAATTCAGTAATTCACACACTTTATTTCATGCCTACCATGCGGGAGGCACCACGACAGGTTCTGGGGCTAGGCCACTGAAGAAAACGATGGAGTCTCCTCCTAGGAGAACTCACCGTCTAACAGGAAAGGACATGTGTTATACTAATGACTCATTCTCATGGGGGTGAAATGTAAAGAAAAGAGAACTGCTCTTACTTGGGCTCGTTTGAAATTGAACATGTCCTTTTCTTTGGTGACACTGTTCTCCACAATCTCATCCTGAAAATCATGTAGCTTCTTCTGAGCCAATTCCAGCTGTGCTTTGAGGTCATCTGCAAGCTGGGCCGCCTCCATTGCCTATGTGTGATGTACAAATAACACCACTTTGTCACCCCTTATTTCTAGCAAGGAAAAATGTTAACCCAAGTTCAAGAAATGAGTAAACTGAAAACTTCATCTGCTCCTCGAGACTGCCTACCGCGTTACACTACAGGGTGGTCCACCCTACCTTGCGCTTGTTCATCTCCAAAGCTTGGGTCCGCAGGCCCAGCTCCTTCTCTCCTGTGCCAATGTTGCTCTGCAACAGGTGTTCCTTCTCTTCCAGTTTCCGTACTACTTGTAACTGGGCATCCACCTTTGGAAGAGAAAGTCACATTTTAACACAAAGACAAATAAAATAAAATTGGCTATTCTCTGGTAATTCATAGCCCCACAAAATATACTGTTAGAAATCCCAAACTAATTACTGAGTTCTACTCATGAACCCTTTAAAATACATGAAAGAGTATGATTATTAAAGGCTTCACACATTAATATAAAATACAGACACAGAATCACGTAAGAGTACAGGAAACCAGTGAAAAGGAGTATTTTCCAAATTGTGAAGCATAGAGGAAATTACACTTACAGCATCTTCTGTAGACATACTAATTCTCAAAGCTGAACAACTCCTGCTAGAATATATAAATTTTAGCTCACACAAAGGTCCAAGTGTGTCTCTTTTATAATGACTAGAAGTTCTAAAATAGTCCTTTTCTTGAAATGAGTGCACCAAGTAGAATCAAACAACATTAAAGGCTAAAAAGTAAAATCATACCTCTACCTCCTCACCCACCAACTCTCATCCCTACATCCAGATGACCATTCTTAGTTTTCCTGCAGCCTTCCAGAAATTAAAATCCACGCAATACACTTTAATACACAAAAGGGACAGTAAACCTCCCGATACGTTTTGGACATTTCTTTCTGCATTAGCAAATCCCTATGTACTTTGATGACTAAACAGTAGTCTTTCATAGGGAAGCAGGATTTATTACCAGGATCCTAAGGACAGACATTTAGTTTGCAGCACTTTATTGCTACCCTGGCTTTTTCCCAACAGAATGTAAATCTCTACTCATCCTAATTACCTGAGTCTTCAGAGTCAAAACTTGGTCTGCCAGCTCCTCCTTCTCTTCTTTCAGCAACTTATGGATCTGATTAGATTTGATTCGCTCTGACATGAGCTTAAAATTTGCATCATCCTTCTCCCGCAACTGCTGCATCAGACGGATATTCTGTTCCTGCATATCTTCAAAGGCCTGGCCTGTGACATCCATCTCAGAGAGGAGAGCTTCTTCCTCCTACAGTGGGGAATCTGATTAGTTGTAAGTTCCAGCTCCAAGGAATGAGCATAGGAAAAAGTTTCCCACAGTACACTTAAATATAAATTAACTTAGCGACAGAGAGATTAGTTTAAGAAATTTTGTAAGAAGCTTAATACTGTCACAAATTAGCCTTTAGATGACAGAAGAAGCCCCATTATCTGAAGTGATTGACACCAATTGTTGAGTTGATACTTATTAGCTCATCTGTACCTAAAGTCACTTAAAGCAAACAGGAATTACACATACCTTAATTTAGCAAACTAACCAAGTAGCAGTTGGTTACCAGAACTTCTATCCTGAAGCCTCACATTTTCTCATACTTTTCCACAATTCTAATACTGAATTTAAATCTACAGATTTTCCAACAGCTGCAAACATTCTAAGTTTCCTAACAAGCTGATAGGTGACAGATGGTACCTAGCAAGAGCTACAATTTATAACTCTAAAGACCGAGCATCTTTTTATGTTTAAGACTGATCTGAAATCTTTTTGTGAATTCATTCATATCTCTGCCTATTCTTTTATCATGTTGTTGGTATTTTTGCCTATCATTTTTCAGAATTTTAAAAAATATAGTAGGAAGATAAACCCTTTGGTGACAGGAGTTCAAAATATTTCTTCCTTTTTGTCTTTAACTCTATCGGCACTGCCAACACTGTTTTTGGCACAGGGAAGGTTTTTAACTTTAAATCTCAAAATTATCAACCTTCCATGTTTTCTCATTTTTTAAATTTTAGTTTATTAGTACATATGTGTAACACATAGTATTGAGGAGTGTACACCAAGTAAGTGTGGGTACACCTAGTCTTTTATTATTAGAATGGTCTTTTCCACTTCAAATTTACAAAGTAACTTACCTGTTTTCTTTTCCCTCTTTCATCTTTTCAATATATCTATAATTTATTTGGAAATCATCCTAGTGTAGTGTTCAAATATGTATCTTTTTTCCCATTTTGCTTTACTTTTGTCCCAACTCATTTAAGTCTTCCTTTTACTCACTGATTTAAAGCTACATTGTTAGCATAAATTAAAAACTATGTAGGGGCTGGGGATTTAGCTCAGCGGCACAGCACCTGCCTGGCAAGCACGAGGTCATGAGTTCGATTCCCGGTACAGGAAAAAAATCAGAAACAGAAAAAAAATAAAAGCCATATGTACTTTAATCTATTTCTGAACTTTCTATTCAATCCTAATAGCCTGTCTAGTTGTCAAAAGCTATTTTTCCTACTGAAACTTTATGTTTTAACAGCTGGAAAAGTTCCCATTGCTGTTCTGTTTCAGTTTTTATCATCATTCTTGTTTACTTTTCCACATATACTTTAAAATCAGTCTAGTACCAAAATAAACAAAAACATTACAAAACAAAAAACAACACTTTTATTGGGAACAGAGTATATTTATATACTAACTTACACAATGACATTTTCAAAATAGAGAATAGTCCTAGCCTAATCTTTCCTGTCGTAGTACCATTTCCTAATAGCATGTTTTTTAAAAAGGGGGAAAAGTAGACATGACCAGATTTAAGAAAAGCCAAAATTCTACTTCTTAAAAAAGGTATGTGCATAAGCTCTAGTGGATGTTTCCCTTTTCAAAACACTTCATAATCAAATTACCCTTCAAACTGCTTCATCTCATTGTCATTCTGCTGTTTCTTAGAAAGAGTGTTAAGTATTACTGACAGTGAACATGTATGTGGATTTTCCAACCATTTTTTGCATCTTTATTATTGAATGTTAGTAAGAATTCACTAGGACTTCAAAACATACATGCGCAAGAAGCTCCAGTTGCACAATCGGTTAGTGCACGGTCCTCATATAAAAACTACATGCTCATTATGAGAAGGAAAATAGTCTCTAAAGTTTATGACCCAGGAAAAACCATAGTTAGCACACTGGTTATTTATAACCTACTAAGAAAGCATAGTTTTCTTAGTTTCATATATTTATAATCATAATGTACATAAAATCTTGTATCTTTTTTTCATCTTATATTCACGATATGCCCTAATTCCAGGCCAGCTAAGAAAGACTAGATCCTCAATAAACAATGTTTGAACAACTTTCTATCCATCTGAAAATAAGAATAAATGTTCTATCTCCCAACCACGCAAAACAAAATAATGAAAGGATTAAAGACTTCAATGAATTCACAAATTACTAAAAAAGAATGAAAAAATTAAAAAAGACAAACACAAGAGTAAATTTCATTAGCAGTTAGTTAATTGTCAAATAACACTGACTTAAAAGGCCAATTAAAAAACAAAGTGTACCCACCTGCTTGGCCATGGCCAGCTTCTTCTGCAGGTACTCTATCTGCTCCTCCACTGCCCGGATCTTCCTCAACGCCTCCTCATCAGCCATTTTCCTGTTCTCTTTTTTCTCCTTATCTTCTAGGTCCTTCAGTCTTTGCCTTAGATCCTCCAACTACAGGAGGAAGAGAATCACATAAGAAATAAAAGTTCTAACACTTTCTCAAAAATCAATGAATACTGTGTACAGTAGAGCGCCAGCCCATAATACCAAAAGAACATTGACAGAATTATAGGACAAGATAAATGGTGCATTAATGATAAATGACAGAATGCACATTACACATTGTTTTAACATACTTCATTCCTGTATTTCATGCTTCTACAAGCACCATTTCTAAGGACTGCATCTGTACCTTTCCTTGGAATAGATTTCAACCCTTTTTTTCCTGTATGTCTCAAAATTTTAAAAGCCTAGGACAGTTCTCCCAAAAGTAATTAGACAAGAAAGAGCACTATAGTAATTATATATATAGGTAGAATGGGTACAATGTTTACAAAATCTACTCCAATTCCCAGTAAGTCTGATGTTATCTTACTACCTTGCAGAAAATCTTCGAATCTGCTTAGTCTTTGAAAGGGGAGAAAATTTTACTCAATTAAATACTACCTTTAAAAGTAAGTAAATAACTATATCCTTGACAAGAATGAAGCAAACCCCACAAAGGAAGATCTTCAACAAAATGACAGGCAATGAGTGACTAGATTACCTCTGCCTTAGACTTCTTCTCAGCTGCCATTAATTGCACTTTGTCCCTCTGTTCCTTGGGGGCAGAGCGGTACATATCTAGCAACAGCTTCATCTCCTTTTGGCTCTCTTGTGCCTTTCTACAACAGGGGTTGAGAGTGAAGGGAACGATGGAATGAGAAAACAAACAGCATCAGGGCAGGAGAATTTTGAATGGAGCAGAATATTTTAAAAGGTTTTTTATTCTCTGTTGTACCTAAAAAGCAAAATTCTGTACAGACTATCACCAGACTTCTGGATATACTTGGAGAATAAAAAAAGTAAACTGTATAAATGAATCATTTCTTGCCTTAGTTCTCTTAACATAAAGTTGCATGGAACTGAGACACGGGCAAAGCTCTGTGTTCCCACTCTTAGAAACTCAGATTAGGTTGGTATGGGATGGGCATCCGGTATATATTTGAACAAGGCACTCAGATGATTCTAATATGACACCTGAAGGAAATGTTTACCTTACAGAGATTAAGAAGGGGGAAATTTGGAAGTCTAAAATATACTGTTAATCTGAGTATGGCTGATTACCCACTATTAGAAGAGTAATGTTTGCCTCTTATTAGGCGATTAAACCATTTAACTACACTGGAGTTTCTTTTCTTTTTTTTTTTTTTCTGGTACCGGGAACTAAACTCACGACCTTGTGCTTGCCAGGCAGTCACTGTGCCACTAAGCTAAATCCCCAGCCCCTCTCAAACATCCATGAAGAGTCAACCATGAAAAATGGGCAGCAAAAGTAACCGGTTCCACTAGAACTTACTGGTTATGCAGGGAAAGGGGGGACATGTGACATTACGATAAACACAACCTCACTGGATTTGCTAAGAAGTCCCTTAATATGATTTGACACACCTACACGAGTTTACTATCAAATAGATCAGGTATCATTCAAGTTACAATGAAATGTACTCCACTTAGTATTTAAACTCCAACTAATGCCAGGAATTGGCCCAAATCCTATAAAGCACAGTAATTAAGTTCCAGTAATTCTCAGGTGTGTCATTTCAATATGATCGCCTTTCTCTTAATTTGATTTCATGAAGAATAAGGCCACACCAAGAGGGTTTACTGACACCGAACACCTCAACTAAACTACACAACAGCCAGGCAGGCCAATTAGGCTGTACATGGAGTCAACGGTTGAGACCACATTAATTATACATTTAGTTACATCTAAAATATCACAAAGATCAGACAAGCTGAGTCATCAACTGCACATTTATGATGTCTGCACTTCAGGTTCAGAGCCTCTAAATACCGCTCTTACTTCAGCTCGATCTTCAGTTGTTTAATAATTTCTGCTTCCTTTTTCCTTCCATCATCATGTTTCCCCTTCTCCTTATCCTTCACAGAATCTCTCTCCTTTTCTGACTCCTTCAATTTCTGCTTCTCTCGCTCTCTCTCCTTTTCCTTTTCTCGTTCTCTTTCTCGCTCCCGTTCTTTCTCCCTCCTTTCTCGTTCTCGCTCTTCTTCATCCCGCTTGGACTTCACTTCACTGCCATCCTCCTGAGATGACTTGGACGCCGAGGACTGGATGGGTAAGTCCTCGGAATCCTGCTTCAGCTCGGCGGGTTCATCCTTGGGGTCCTCAGTACTAGACTGCGACTGCAGAAGGGCACTGCCGCTACGCAGACGTGTCTGGGAGCACAAAGAAAAGAAAGGCGCACCTTGGTTAAGGTAACCGCGTTGCCTACCTCACTCAGAAACAGCTGCGCAAACTTAATAGTGCATAACACTTCGACTGCTGCTGGCTACCTTGTTCAGGTCGGACTGGGCTTCTCTCAACTTCCGCTTATACCTCAGGACCTCCCCTTTCAGCTGGTGATTGTGATTCTGGAGACTACTGATGAGATGGCGCATCTCCCGGTTTATAGGGCCTTAAATACAGCAATGGCAATGTTAAGAAGAACTGCAACAAGGGTGAAGGCACAAGGAAAGGAAGGGAAGAACACATGAGAAACTTCTAGAAAACAGGGAGAATTACTGAAAAAAATACTCTGTCAGAGGATAAAAACAAATCTGGACAACTTAAAATACAAACATTGAGGCTGTGAGGCAAAATGAACTCGAAGATTTAATTTAAGGTACTTTAGGATTTTTGAGTTAAATTAGATGAACAAATCTCCAGAACCATGCTGCGTCTTTCAAGGAAGGCATTTATAGCAAACAAACTGCAGGGTGGAGTGAGAAACACTGTACCTGCTTGCTCATTGGCAGCAAGGGTCTGCTCAAATTCTATCCGCAGCATTTCGTACTCCTTGCGGACCTGGGCCAGCGTGTCCTCCAGCTGAATCACTTCAGTCCTCAGCTTCTTATGAAGACTAACCTCATCTCGCTACACACAGAACAAGGAACCAATCAAACATTCTGACCAAAACGTAGAAATACCATCATATGCTATTATTCTGGCTCTGCTATTTGATCTGTAAGGATCTAAAAATGAGAAAAGAAAATGCCAAGAAAAAGAATAGGCAGCTGAAAATTTCCACTTCATTCAATACTTAATGAGCACTGGGAGAGCTTCCAAACACAAATGTGGAAACTGGCGAGACACTACCCACAGAAAAAGGAAATGGCTTCCAACTTGGAGAATATTACAATTTAGTTAGAAAACCTAAATACCATAAAACAGTATATAAACATTTATAAAGTAGTATTCCATTCATTCGGCTGGCAGATATACAAAAAGACCAACTACACCAAGGATCTTCGAAGACAAAGAAACGTGTAAGAACTTTCTGCCTTTAAAAGCATGAGTTCCAGGTGCCACTACCCACCATAACGGCATGGAAGAACTGACGCAGCTTCGGCCCGCCGTTCTCCCGAGGCACAGAAGCTCCCTCGCGCTTTCATACATGCTGCTCTCACTGCTGGGAATGCACCTGTCCCACCTTCAAATACCAGTGAACTTGGATTTATCATTATGATTCACATTTCACTTTCTCAAAGGAATCAGGAAGGCTCCTCAGTCGAATCAGACGCTCTCCCCTCCATCAGTGCACTTCTGGTACACTGCTACTGTAGCCCACTGCACCCTACTGGGTATTTTACTCTCCTGTGGGCAGGAATTCTTACCTCTGTATGCTCACTATCTAGCACAGTAAAGACCTATACCTACTCTATATAAATGCATGCTGCACATGAGGAGAAACTTGTAAAGTTTAGGAGCCAGAAAACCTGAAACACAGAACAGGAAGTAAACCCACTACCTCAATGAGCTCAACTTGGCGCTGGTGAGTCCCCCTGGTGCCATGAAGCAGGGTTCGCGCCTCATCCAAGTGCGCTTTCAGCTGCAGACTCTCATTGTACAGCACTGAGAACTGCGACTGCATGCAGCGATATTCCGGGGTTTCCTTCACCACCTCCTCCACTGCACTCCGCAGTTCCACCTTAGGAGAGACAGATTAGGGACTCGGGGGAAGAGCCCCAGCACCAGCCCTGTGAAGTGTGCCCGGATGCTTACTAACTTTTATTAACCACCTCAGAGAAAATACTTCTGACACGGTAATAAAAAGTTATGCTTTTCCTGAGCAACTGCTTGTTTTGATCACTCAAACATTGTAAATAATTTTACTTAGGCTACTGGTGCATTTTTAGTTCAAACATCTGCCCTATTATTAATTCACCTGGAAATAAATTAAATTATAAAAGACAGGTAACTGTGCTGAAGGAGATGAGGAAGACTGCCACAATCTTTCTTCCCCTAAAACCCTGAGGAGGGAAAATCCTCACAGGCAGGTTGAAAACACAGCAGGATCACTGATCACGTTTTTTCTTTCCTTCTGGCAGGTAGAAACTGCAGAGCCACATCTGTGACCTACCTTTGGCAAAAAGTGACATGTTAATGGCCTATCCTCGCACAGTACCTACGTGTTCCTCTCGGGCATCTTATAAACAGACTCATTTCTACTATCTATTTTACATTCTCACTCTAGTTTGCCCTCTTCTCCATTTTTCTCCACAACTCCGACATTAGACTACCTTGATATATTCCATAAATCTTTATCGGTCAGTACAAGTCCTTTACAGAACAAGGCAGGATGCAGGTAATAAGTACATATGTAAATAAATAAGCACAAAGTATTATCAATAAAATTTGTATTTTTCTTTTCTTCCTCCAGCTTTATTGAAGTGTTATTAACAAAAAGTATATATATTTAGGGTAGACAACATGATATTTTGACAAATGCATCTGCTGTGATTATTACCATAGACAAGCACCATTCTTGTGTGGTGAGAACATTTAAGACTTGCTTAGTATATTTCAAGTACATAACACATAAGAATCAATCATGTCCCTCTGCTGTACATTAGGTCTCCAGAACTTACTCATCCAGTGCAACTGAAATTCTGCACCCTCTAGTATCTCCCCATCATCCAGCCCTCAGCAACCCCCAATCTATGCTCCACCTCTATGAGTTACACTTTTTTAGATCCTATACCTAAGTAAGATCACGCAGTGTGCACTTTTCTGTGTATGGCTTATTTAGTATAATGTCCTCCATTTTCATCTATGTTGTCACCAATGACAGGTTTTTTTTTAATGGCTGAATAACATTCATTGTATACTTCTATCACTTTTTTTATCTACTCAGTGTACAAATCTCATTGCTTTGATTAAGTATGTCCATAAATATTTTGGTTTTGATGCTATTGTAAAATGAGATTTTCTTAATTTCTGCCTCATACAGTTCACTGTTAGTATACAGAAACAACCGATTTTTCATGCTAATTCAGCATTCTGCAAGTTTACTGAATTCACTTATGATCCTTACAAGTTTTTTAGAGAAGTAGTAAGGGTTTCCTATGTATAAAACCATGTCATCTGCAAACAGAGACAACTACTTCCTCCCCATTCTGGAGGCCTTTTACTGCTTAAATTCTTCCCTAACTGCTCTAGCTAGAACTTCCAGTATTATATTAAGTAGAAGAGGCAAGAGTAGCCATCCACGTCTTCTTTCTGATCTTAGAGGAAAACTCCGTATTTTCACCACTGAATATGACACTAGCTGGGGGCTTGTCACAGCCCGCCTTTATTATGTTGAGGTGTATTTCTTCCACACCTAATTCACTGAGAATTTTTACCATGAGAGGATACTGAATCTTGTCTACTTCGTTTTCCCTTGTAAACGGTGCAGCTTCACAAGCATTTTTACTGATCAGTGGACTGACTAGCGAGAATCTGGTTTTACTGTCCTACCAGATGTGCCTCCTACCTTCAGCTTTTCATTCTGTGACGTGACCTCCTCAAAGTCTTGCCGAAGTTTCTCCAGTTCACAGTGTCGGTTCTGAGCCAACTCTTTGTTCTCCTCAAGCTCTGCATTCATTTCCTCAAACTAGAAAGAACAGAAAAACAGCAAATAAAATAAAGTCAAAAAACTGTTACATCATTCACATTTCCAACCTTTCTATATTCCCTGGTCTGTTCCTCTAAGAAATCTCACTTTGCCACTTGTAAAGCTATCTAAGCAGCAGGTACAGGATCTGACAGCAGGTCAAACACTGCCCTACACAGACCACTGACTTTACCTTCCGAGCATTGATTGTGATTGTGCCGCCATAGAGACTGCTCCCTGCTCCATACACCTTGTAACCTTTTGAATTCACCTACAGAAAAGAAAACAAGATTCTTAGTAAGAGACCTGAAGATTGTAGCCCAATAAAGCAATGTACTTTGCAAGGATCAGTCTATTTTTCTCCAGACGACACTGTCCAAGTTGATTCTTTCTGAGAAAATTCCTTAAAATGATTCTAGTCTCTAAGCTATAATAAAACAGCACTGACCCGTTCTAGAACTTCTGCTAAGTGTCGGTTGAGTCGCTGTTCCCTTTTTCGAATTTTGTCAATATCCCACTGCAGATCATCAATCATGGACTCCAGGACAGACACTCGTGACTCAGCTGTCTCCACCTTGCTCTGCAACTTGGAGAACTATGTTCCAAAGATAGGCATTTAAAAATATATTTTAAAAGAACAAGTTACAAAAGGTATGCCTTACATCACCAGTTTAAATTCCCGTAACTCCTTGACAATCCTCCCAAAAAAGTGGAATCTAAAATTTTTTTTCTTGAATCTGGGTGAACTTTAATGACCCAGTGGAAATATGCTACGTAACTTCAAGGTTAGCTCAGAAAGGCAATGAGGGTCTGCCTGGTGTTCTTAGGGTATGCACTAGAAGTCAGCTGCCACACAAGAATGCAACTACACTACCCCTGCCACGCACAAGTCACCTGTAGGCATTTCAGCGCGAAACTCAGGTGAGCACCCAGCTGACAAGCATCAACATGCGGCTATAACCACCTAGTACATCAACCCAGATGAGCAAAACAATGTGCCTTCGATTTACTAATGTTGAGATGTGGGGAAGGGCAATAAAATGAAGACTTTTCCATCTTGCTAGCACCAAGTTTACATCTTAAAACATTACAGGCTCTTTTATTTCTTACCATACTCCACTCTAACCCCTGAGAATCAGTGTGTATTTATAAACTCCCAGATGATTCTCATGCAACCAGCCCAGCACTTAACAATGGAGTTTAGGAAACAAGGGTAGATGAAGCCTGTAGCTTTGAAATATAAGAGATTTATATTCAAAACACAGATCAGGTACGTTCTAGCCACTTGCCCTCAGACTGGTCATTAACCTTTTGGAATATGTTTGTTTAGAAGTAAAATGAGAACTAGTTTACCATTAAAGGTAATATTTATACAGTGCTTGCATTTTGGTTCGAAGTACACTGTAGCTAAATTCCTAGTCAGCATGAGAAGTTAGTGTCTGAGCCACGGTCGGTCACATTTCAGTACAGTATAATTTGAACTAAGCCAAAATGATAACCATGAATGCCACACAAACCTTACAAGGCCGCTCATGACTTTAAATATTTTTGTAAATAAATTCCCAGGTCTTGGCATTGTTTGGTCTTGGCTCTATTATGTCCAAGCCTGGGTGAGAAACTCATACTCCTCAAGTTCCTACGATATCACCAATGCAGAATTTTCTATATCCCATATTCTGCTGACTTTTTATTAAACCATTCTTTAGTAACATTGTTCCTGTACATTGTATTTGGAGTAATTCATTATTTGAGACTTTGGACTTCTGCTGTGTTTTGTAAAATCCCATAGGACACCATTTCTTAATAAGATGAGGATCTTAAAATATCTTTTTAAGCGGAGGCATAGTCAAGGAGGAATATTCAATTATTTTCTTCTTCCTAAGATGCTGATTTCTCAGAGCTGGGTACTCTAGCCTGCCCTGGGTGCTCTTCAACATAAAAATAGATCTTCTAGAGTAAGGTGACTCAGAATCCTGAGTCAACATCTGCCAGACCGACTACACACAGCCACCTCTCCTTTCTGGTCAAGTACCTCTTGAGACATGGTATGATGCTTTTCCTGAAGCAAGTCTGTCAACTCCTGTAGCCTCATATTCTCTTGTGTGAGGAAGGAGTTCAGCTCCTGTACTGCTTCCTCCACTATCAGACTATCTGAGGAAGAAGAACTGCACTTTAGTTCAACAACAACAAAAAGAGGCTTGGGATATAGCTCAGTGTTAAGGCCCTGGCTGCAATGCTCAGCACTGTAAAAAGTGAGAGACAAACAAACAGAGAGAGAGAGAGAGAGAGAGAGAGAGAGAGAGAGAGAGGAGAGACAGAGAAGAAAACATACCCAAAGCTGATTCTTTGAAGTAAAAAAAAAATAATAATTCTGCTACCTATAATCAGAATGGGTAGATAAAATTCTTTCCTTAACTTCCTGAAGGACTGTCATATAGCTCAAATGTGAAGCATTCTTAAAATACTAATATGCCACTGTAACACCACTATCAATAAAGATTAGGATTTCAAGCAATTTAAAGTAACAGGTTAAATTTGCAAACTACACATTAGCCTGAGGTTTTTTTCTTCTCTTTTAGGGCTGAGGATTGAGCCCAGGGCCTCACACAGGCTAAGCACATGCTCTACCACTAAGCCACACATTTCCCGGCGTACAAAGGTGAATTCTTATTCTTCCCTCACTGCTTCTGGTCTCCAGGTTCTTGTCTTACCTCCACTGTTCAGTTTCCGGGATAAAAAGTCCACCCTTTCTTGCAGTTTATCATAGACAGTCACAATTTGGGACACAGCTCTGCGAGAGGACTCCACACGCTCCTGCAACTGAGATTCCATCTCTTCGCTGGAACTGCTGGCCAAAGTAGCAAGGAAAGAGAAAGCTGGCTCTTGCCCCTCCCCTGAAAACACAGAGGGGTGAAAAAGAAGTACCTCAAAATGATAAAAATGGAAATATTACATTTTTTTCACCCTCTTTAATGGACAGCCTCACAAAAAGGCCCAACTCAAATCTAGATAACACGCAGCGAGAGAAACCACCATAAATACTCACCCCTCTCTCGGTCATCTTTGCGTTCTTGATTGCTGTCCGAGTCGGGTTCCGGTTCCGGCACAACAAGGGCTTTCCTTTCTGTGAGTAGATCTCCCAAACCCTGCTCCAGATCGTAACGTTTAAGGATGATACGGATGTTTTCATCAAACTGGAGAAAAATGCAAACAATGAAGAAAGAAGAAAAGGACAGTTTTAGAAATGAAGAAGGCACTAAGAACTAAACTGCTCATACAAATCTGAACAAGCAAATAGGATACCTGACTCCAGTACCGGTTGACAATCAACAGGGAAGCGTCATCAGTGGCCTGTCGTCGTTCCAATTTTTCAATGTGCTCACGAAGCTCATCCTCAATTGCCTGCCGCTGGTCTAGCATTTCTGCAAGTTTGCGGTTTTTGGTTTGCAGTGTTCGGATGTCTAACTCCTCCTGCTCCAGGAAACCAGTATTGTTAATCTCCATAAAGAGATTAGACAAATAAGCTGTTATACTCAACAAAGTCCTATTAGTTCATCAGTATTTGTTATGAAAAAAGAGGTAGTCATTTAAAAAAATCTTACAATAAACAATTAGATAAGCTAAGAGAAACAGCGACAAAGGCACAGGTGACATGATGATGCAAGGAGAAAAACAACACACCAAGTACACTAGAACCTCAGTCTCACCGTCTCATGGTTCTACTCACATGCACCTCTACAGTAAAGCTACAGTGCGGTTCCACAGTCTAACTAGATCGCCCTCTACTTCAATCGCCATTGCATTCTATTTCCTCCAAACACTTCATTTATTCAAGACTTTGACATCTGGGTTCTCTATCCAAGTCCCTGACAACATACATCTGGTGATTTCAATATACATATGACAATCTAGTTCTCTAGCATCCAGGTTGTATTTTGAACTCCTTAAACCCAATGATTATCCCCTCCACTGTATTTCAGCCATGAATTTCAAAAGCTGTATCACAGACATGTTAAACTTTGCTACATCTGAACTCTTAAATTCCAACTTCCCATTGCCTGAAAAAAAGGCACACATACCAGTCCTTTCAAGTGACTTAGGTCTCCAAAATTTTCAATTATCTTTTTTTCCCTTTCAATCCTCTACTTCTACCAAGTTCCATATCCTGATTATAACCTGAAGTACATTCCTTCAAACACCTATCGATCTCAACTCTCCATCTTATATTGCACCTCTGTGAACAGTCTGTGCAGCCTGTTTATCCAGACATCTAACTATTCCATTCCTATCCCCAGCACGGTGAGACTTCAAATGAAGTCATTAACCAGGGAAACCACTGACTTAACAAAATGAATTCCCAACCTGACCACATGTCATAATTTGTCCAGAAATATTTTGTATTTAACAAGTAAATGTCCTTTATCTATCAAAGCAATATGGAACTCTACTGAGCTCTGTCCCTCTCACATCACACTACACAGGTGGCTTTGCTTCCTATCTTAACAAAACAAAAGTTATCCGTTGGGAAACACCCCAATTCCCACCTGTCTGATCCATTCACACAACCTGGGCTCAGCATCTCTTCTCTTCTACTAACCCTCACTCCTTCAGTAACTCCACACCCCTCTTAAAACTTCTAACCTCTCTAGCTCCTTCCCTAGAACAAGCTGGAGATGGGCCCAGGGGTGGAACAGCCCCAGCAAAGAAACAGCACATCTTACGGTTTACATTCCTACTTTCCCTACGAATGAATACATGTTAATGCTAGAATTGTTTATCAGAGCACTAATTTCCTGTTCTACTTTTCTCTCTTTCATTTGGGTTACGACATTCTTGGTATATCAAAGAAGCAAACAGTTTCCCCCTTGTACCAGCTTATTCATACTATTAATAAACTATATCCTTAGCCCCTTCTCTGAACATTGCCTTTTCCTTCTTGCTCTAACTAAAATCTAGCTGAGAACACTGTTTCCTCGCACACTTCTCCAGTGGCAGCTGTTTTTCTCCCACTCCTTGAAGCCCTACACCTAGAGGCAGACTGCCTCTTCCCCGTTTTCCATTGCCATTTCCAAGCCATCATGCCCCCTGTCCTGCTAAAACCTGCGAGCTTTACAGCTCCTGCCACCTGCCATCTTTTTGTTGAACTTATCTGTAAACGCCCAGGTCATTCATTCAGTTCTCAAGGATTTAACTTATCATGACCTGCTACAATACTGCTTCTATTATGCTTCTTAATGATTCCAGTCCCCATACAAATGGTCTTCTGTGCCTTGAATGGAGCACTGACCTCCTCTCCATCCATAATCTAGTCTTCTTACCTCTCCATCACCAGCTCCACTTATTCTCCCTCTGCACCTTAGCCATACCTGCAGTTCCTCTACAAGCTCATTCTCCGTAACTACCACGTACCTCTCCAGCTCGCTGTTTCCCACTTCAACAATTCTGCAACCTCTCCGGAATCTATAATTGTTTAGTCCTATACCCTCCACTGCCTTTCATTCCTCCACTGCCTTTCATTCCTCTCACTTCTCACCTTTGTCTTTAGCAAACAAATTCTATGATCAGTCATTATAATCACTTGCATTTAAATACCTTCCCCTCTTTCCTTGCTTTATCATACTTTTGGTAAAAACCTCAACCCTAGTAACAGCCAACTCTACCTACTCCGAGATCAACGCAGCTCAATGTGACTGTAAAAAATGATTAGACTAATTGATTTCACTTTAAACTCAATGCTCACAAATTCAAATGGGTAACCAGTGCTACACAGTAACCCTACTATCTCTCTCTAATCCATTCTCTCTCAGGACGACTTCACAGCTTCTCCTGTCCCTTCAAACCTCTACAACGTCCTCCCCATCCTCTCTTGATAAGTTTTATTTTTGAATTCACTGAAAGAAAAGGAGCAATCAGAAGAGAAAGCTCATACCTACCTCCCACAAGTACAGCACCAACCTACCTACATCTGAACCCACAAGCTCACTTCCTTTTTACTGCTATGGATAAACTGCCCCTACTACTGGTGAAGGCCAGTTCCTCCCCTTGTACCTGACATTCCACTCCCTCTCAGCCACTCAAGGACGTCACATCAGTAACCGGCTCCCCTTTTGCTATATCAATTTTATCCTTTCTACCAAATCAGTTCCATAGAAAAACATGCTCCAATATCTGCAAATTTAAAAACCAAAAAATAAAAATAAATAAAACCTGCCCTTGATTCCACATTTCTCTCTAGCTACTGCCCCATTTTCTTTGCTCCACTTTAATGCAATACTCTTCCAGAGCAGTATGTCTCTATCCTCTTTTCCCTAGTTCTCTTCTCATATTATCATAAACTCACAATTAGACTTCCATCCCCACCACTACACCAACATAGGTCTCGCTGAGTATCCAACAAACTCTCTATTGCTCAATGTCTCAGTCCTCCCCTTACTCAGCCCACCAGCAGCACCTGATCAATGCCTCTTTGGAACACTTTCTTCATTTGCTTTCCAGAATCCCACGCTTGTTTCCCTGTCTCACTACTCCCACCTTTTTTGTTCTCTTTAGTTTCTTTTCCTCTTCCTTTGGGAAACATGTTATAGGATCCTCAGTCCTCAGATCTCTTCTCCATGCTTATTGCTTCAGGGAAACTCTGCATTCTCAATAATTTAAATACCATCTACAAAACGGTAACTCCTAAATGTTAAGCTTTAACCTAGATCTCTCTCCAGAGTCCAGGTTACATCAACTACCTACTAAGGGATCTAATAAAACATCTTATGTTCAAAATCAAACCAAACTCATGATTCACTCTCCAGGGCTCCCAAAACTCCGCCTCTCATATTCTTCCTGAGTTCAACAACAAGAAACTCAATTCCTTCCAAAATCCCTATCTCTCATATGCTTTATCCAATCCATTGATAATCTTGTCTCCACAGTGGTCCACACCACCAGGAGACCTCATTAGGATTACTGTAAACACCTCCCACAGCAAACAGTTTGTGCCATGTTCAGCCAGACCGTGTGATTTCAGCACAGCTGTGATGGACAGCTCCATTCACATTGCCATAGTTCCCATTTCAAGCACACTTCGGAGCCCCTGCAGGTTCACTGTAACAACTCTGAAAGGAACACGACAAGTTACTGTCTTCAGGAGCAACCTTCAGCCCACTGGGTCAGGAAACAGTAGATATAATCCTCATAGCCCCACCTTTGGAGAAGGACAGCTGCGGTGACAGAAGGATTCAAAGGAGCAAGGAACCAGTTCTGCTAACTGGACTCCTGCTATAATCCTTGTTCTTCTACAGTCTGCAAACATAAGTCAGAGCATGTTACTCTCTTCTACTTAAGACCTTCCAGCAGTGCCTCACTACCTTGTGGATCAAGTCCAAACTGGGACGCGTGCTCCGCCTCCCTTAGAGCACATGTTTATCTCTATCAGTGGCATATACCACCGTCTACTATAACAGTCCATTTCTTTGTTGGGGCCACCCTACAAACTGAAGTACAGAGGCTGTCCTCGGCATGCAGCACAATATCTAGCAAGTAACAGGTGTTCAACAAATACTACTGTTTGAATATCTGAATAAATACTTTTCAATAAATGCCTTTGGTGTATATAAGACAGTGCTATGCAAAAAATCATTTCCTGGCAGCACAATGGAGCACAACAACCCCAGACAGTCCTAGAAAAGACGCTTCACCAACAATTTACTATGAATGTTCCTAATATTTAGACTAAAAAAAAAATTCAACCTCTATGAACATCAGCCTCAATAATCAAGTAAGTAATACAAATGGAAAGTACATTAGTATCATCTCCAGGACTGAGTTCCAAAATACAGAATCTCAAACTAGACTAAAACCTGTAAGCTTCTGATATGTAAAGCATGCAACATTACTCTAAGTTTCTGGTATATATATGTGTGTGTGTGTGTGTGTGTGTGTATATATACATATATATATTCTAATGCAATACACACTTTTCTGTCATTTCCATAAGAGCAAGGATACAAATTTTATTCACTACTATCCAGTACAATAACGATTATTAATAGTTCACTATTATGAGTACTTTCTATTGCAAAGGCAGTTTTTAGTGCTTAACAGAGACTCATTTTATCTTCACAACAACCTACTGTGATAGGCACTGTACATTCATTTCACAGACAAGGAAACAAAGGCAAAGGAAGGAAAATACAAGGCCACTCCAGCACAAAGTAGTGGTAGAGCAGAAAACAAACTTCAGGATGTCTGGTTTCAGGCTCTCACTCTTCACTACTCTCAATGATTTTGTTACACTCCCTCTTAGAACTAGCACATTTTGCAGCAAATGAGAAATGAAGTGTTTATATTCTAACTGCTATATAACTACAGCCAATGCTCTGTCAGTCACCTGACTCCTAAAAGAACATAAACATAGCTTGAAAATGCAAATCAACTGTCAATATAGCTCTCTGCCAGAACTGACCACCACATCATTGCACACACTTCACAAGTCTTACTTTCTTTCCAAATGACTTCCCCTTACTCCAAAGGGCTTCCATAAATTTTTAATTTCAGGCTACAACTCACAAATGAACGCACACTTTCACAGCACCGTTTTCTCATACCGTTGAAGAAACACCCCCTAGCTTAATTGTTTCCACTGTAGTCCCGGAATCTTCAACAGCTGCCTTCTTCTCTGGAGGCACGGATGTGCCAGCCTCTCCTGCTGCTCTTTTATTCCCAACACCTGACATCTTGGCTTAATGCGCTAGCTGTTGTCCTGGAAAGAAAAGAAAGTCAGAAATTGAGATTGTATGTCAGGACAGCAAAAATATAGAGACTGCTATGATGTAAAAACTAACCATGTTTTGATCCTTTAACCCACACCCACCCATAAATTTCTTCTTCAGAAAACTGACTAAATTTTTGGTCAATCAGGGCTGTACTAACATAAGTTTCTAAATGTTAATAAGACAATAGGAAAAGGGTGAAGGGACCTAAACTAAATAACAGGAATCTCCCTTCCTGAAATGCCAAAATAAGTATAATTTGATTACAACAGAAGTTATTTCCATTGTGTTTCGAGTGTCACAGAGGTGAACGATCTGGAAAATGTGTACTAATTAATACTGGACAAGTCGGTTATTATCTCTGACCTGTTTGCTAAACCATGAAAAACAGTATATATATATACATATATATATATTTCTCTTTTTGTAAGAAATGGATGATACAATTACAAAAAGAATTCAGCATAATACCACGGCATACACTAAGCAGTCAGAAACACTAACTCTCCCGTTAATATCTGCACTTTCCCCGTATTTTCAAATGTTTTCTTTACGATTTTGTGCAGCCCTAGGGAGGTTACCCTGGGGGAGATTCCGAGTTCTTCCCGCTGCCCTACCTCACGCCCGGAGTTTCTGAGTTCAAAGAAGGCGGAACGGATGTTAAAGCACTCACCCTACTTTTGGGAACAACCTGCCACCACCGAGACTACAGAATACTCTCCTTCCAGTTCCAGTTCCAGGCAAGGGGTACAGCAGGCAGCAGTCAGAGTCGAACCCCGCCTGCAAGAGAGGACACAGGTGCAGGGTAAGGGCCGCAATCAGACCCTAAGCGGCCAAGGAACCCGGCCTCCGGCGTCGCTCCTCGCAGGCCGGGAGATGGAAGCCCCGGAGGCAGAGAGGCTGAGGATTCCCCAGTTCATACTTATGTCTTGGTGTCCTAAGCCGTCATCTAAGCTGGTTCTTCCAACTCAAAGCGCGAGATCACAGCTCGCCACAGTTATTCACCAAGGTCCGCGCAAGCCTCGCATCCCTCACCTCTGACCTCCCGCGCAGACCGACACGCTTCCGGGAGGCGGGGTCATTGGGCGGAACAATATAGGGAAAAGAGGAAGTTGCTTCAGCTCCATTTGCTAGACTGCGCTAGAAGCCGGGCGGAAGTAACGTAGATACGGCTCCGAGGGGTCTTAGTAAGCACCGCCTTCCCGACAAAGCTTGGTCCGGGCGGGATTCTGTCCGCCTTAAAACTTGTAGGAGTCTCTAAGGCTCGCTGATATCTGCTGGAAAACTTTGGACTTTTTTTGACTTTTTGGTCTGCGCTACTGTGATGTAGTTTTTTCCACTGAGATAAAGCAGCTGGTTTTGTTTCCTGTTACTTGTTCTACCTAAACTCGTTCAGACTGCCAATTAGGGTGATCGTCCTGTCAATCGCAGGGGAGACACTTAACCTCGAACACGTAGGGAAGCTTTAGCCCTGGGCTCCTACATTTACAAATGAAGGGCTCTGGGGAAAATCGGAAGGCTCTCGCGGATGTCGGGTTTTGTAGGTTTTCCGTAGGGAGAACTCGTCTGGGGATTTTTGTTTCATCTAGGGCAGGATCTGGACAAAGACACTTTTTTAAAAAGCTCGCATCCCACCCGCCTGGAGTGTAAAGTACGAACAAGAGTGAGAACTGTTCTTGTGTAAACAGAAAGGACAACTACTGCTCCTGTGTTGGAGGGGAAGGGGACAAAAAATTGACCAAGAAAAGGATCATACTTCAATTCGAAGTCTCTGATCTCGGTACTAGTCGATTTAAATCTAATTAGAAATTGATTTTTTTTAGTTAATGATGTTTATTTTCATTCCATTAAACTAAATATCTGTTTTAACTATAGGAAGATAATATAACCTATCAATAAAAAGCTGCATGTCATGCAAAACTATGAAAAACTGCCTAGTGACATCCAATAAGCATTCAGAAATGGAAGATCACTGTACTTTCAAAAATGAATTAAAAAAAATGCAGGCATGTTGGAAGGAAAGCAAACCCAGGCTATATTGTATTTCTGGTAGTTTGAAGATTTTGGCATTGTATGTTTCACCACCTGGGAGGTCATAAATTGATCATAAAGTAAGAAAGTGAACAATGGAAAAAGGTTTTTGGTACCTGGTACTAGAATCCTTCCTAGCATTGAAAAAATTAATTGGCTCCAAATAGACTTAACACTTTTATTGGTGAAGCACAAGTTTGAGAACTTTATTTTCAACAGGTCCGCCTATTGAAAAGTACCCAGTGAAGTTGACACATAAAGTTGACCATCAGACTACGTAGCTATCTGCTCCTCCTATTGATGAAATAACGTCTTTTCTGAAAGCCTCAGTCCTCTCTCAGCATCTTCAGAGTAGCTTATCCAGCCTCAGAGGTAGATTTACCCCAGAGAACTGGAAAACAGAAGAGATGAAAGAAAAGTGGTGGAGACCTCTCCCATTGACCATATTCCATATGGATGCCCATCCACTACGGCTCACACCATCTTCAGAGAAAAATGAATCAATCTACAGAAAAATTAGTTTTCCCTTCACTCATAAATGGGAGAACACTATTACCAATGCTGTGAATACTTAATATTTGACTTCACGTATTTTAAAAGCTCTTGTTGCTTTTTTCAGCATTATAATTTAAGTAAAATAGTAATTTCTTAAGGAGAAAGTAGACTCCTTGATTTCAAGTGATTGTTACAAGTTACATAATTTGTCAAAGGACCCAAGTCCTTTGGCTTTCAGCCTGTGGTTATTAACTACACCATTCTGCCACAAGGTGGCAGCAGGTGACATGCTTTTCTTTCACTGTTCCCCTTTTTTGGTTTGGTTACTGCACCTGTCAGTTATGCCATAATTCTTGGAGACCTGGATAGCTACTTAGGATATGCATAATAATCTCATAAAGAACAAAAAAACTAAGCTACTTTGGAATTTTGTTTGCCAATTTTTTATATTCCCTGTAAATATTCTACTGTAATACTGTTGTTCCATCTCCACGCATTCAAATGTTCCATAACTCTGGATTGGATTGTGTACTAAATATAGTTCTGGGAGTTCCTTACTTATTTTTAGACAAGTTGTATTTTGCCTAGGGTGGCATACCTTGTTAAACACAAATAGATTCCGCAGCCCCAGTTCTAGACAGTGAATTCAAATCTCCAAGGGAAACCCTTCTGGAAATAAAGTTCTGATTTTGTAATTATGCTTCCTATCTGGGCCTGTTTAAGCAACACTGCTGTAGGTGATGCTGCTGCACTTGAGACTGTTCTGCAGCTGGATCCCAGCCCCCTCCTCTTGTCTTCGGTCTTCTCAGCTTGCTAGGCCATCACACATCCACGCCTTTCTCTTTCATCTCCAATCTCCTGCCTTTTCCTCAGATTACTTGGCCCACTACACCATACCCAGTCCTCTTGCAGTGTGATTTAGGAAGACCAGGAAGCTAGAGCCAGGCCTCCCAGAATAAGGACAAAGATTCCTAGCAGGCACAATTGAAGCAGAAGAGTTGATAGGTAGTCCCAAATTGCCACTGCACTTAATGCTGTACTAAAAGCTGAAAGGTGTGTGTGTTACAGTAATGCACTTGCTCTTTTGTGGTTTTTTTTGTTTTGTTTTTTTTGTTTTGTTTTTTTGTTTTGTTTTGGTACCTGGAATCAAACTCAGGACCTTGCGTTTGCCAGGCAGGCGCTTGCACCACTGAGCTGTATCCCCAGCCCTCTTTTGTGTTTTTATGCCATGTAATGTTTTATTTTGGGTTTCTAATATTTTTATTATTTTGAATCTCAATTTGCATTCATGTTTGCTGTCACTCCCTTGTTATGGCATGAGAATTTGGAAAAGAGAAATCATGTTGTCTTTATGAATCTTCATTAGGTGGGGTCACTCTTCCATGTTGCTATCACTTGGCAGCTGGCAATCTACATCACCTTGGAGGAGAAAGACCAGCATCATAAAATGCTTTCATCTAGCATGGAGGTTATTGTTATGGAACATTTCCAGCAATGTGGCATCACCACTTTTAAGAAAACAAATTGAATCTTTGGAAATCCAAAGATTAGGATTTAGCTCAAGGGCATTTTTCAAACTGGATAAAGAAGAATCTAAGCTTTCATAGTAATGAAGGCCAAAGGGTGATGAAGACAAAGACCAAAGATTATCAGTGTTGATTCTAGGGGCTGGGGATTTAGCTCAGTGGCACAGTGCCTGCCTGGCAAGCACAGGGTCATGAGTTCGATTCCCGGTACTGGAAAGCAAAACAACAACAAAAAAAACCAACTTGTCTTTTGGGGCGGGGGATTTAGCTCAGTGGCACAGCGCCTGCCTGGCAAGCGCAAGGTCGTGAGTTTGATTCCCGGTACCGGAAAAAAGCAAACAAAATAATAATAATAATAATGATTCTATATTGGAGACCCCTTCCCATACAAGTAAAGTAGAAATAACTACTTTCAGCATTAAGGGAACTGAAAGAATATTATCTGTGTCAAACTTTGGCATAAAGATATTTGCCCACTGACCTGGAATCTCAGGAGACACTTAAGAAAGGGTTCATAGAACTGTTGGGAAGTAGAAGGGTCTGCAGAGGTATAAGCAGAGCCCATGATCTCATTTTTATTTTTAAATATTAAAAAATATAATAGTTATCCCAGTGCTGGTTAACTTTACTTGTTTAGTTCAATTCCTCTAAGTTCAAATTTAGAACAACAGCCCCTGGTTAAGTTTTCAGGCCCCCACTCGTTCTAGGAGTTTACAGGAGTCCCAAGAGAATCCACATGGAAAGAGATCAACCATCTCTCCCAATATGCAGTCAAGCGTTTTGAAATGAATCACTGATCTCTAAACAGTCTACTTCATGCTGTATTTATATCGCAAGTACAGTCTTAATTTGAGCAAAATAGCATCAATTGTCACATTACATAAATACTGTCAACTTTATTCTTATTTGTCTTTGTAGCTTTGTTTATATTTATGTTTGTTTTGGTTTGCATAGCCATAGTAGCATAAAGTATACTAAGCTTACTAGACATATTTTAACAGCATTATAATAAAACTAATTTAAATAAGCATGAAGGAACCACAAGAAATTTATCTTTCTTTAAAAAGGGAATCTGTACAGTATTTAAATTTCTAAAACAATTCTTTATTCCTTAATTGTGCATATACTGGTTTGTGTAGTCATGATTATTTCTTATGTCTAGTCTTTTTATCCCCTGTCTTTTAAATTATTTTAAGATTGTTTTCTCTAATTTTGTGAGATATGCTTTTGGAATTTCGATCAGGATTATATTAAATTATTGGAGACCTGGCCAAGATCCCCAAGTACTGTATGAGGGATACAGCAAAGGATGAAGAAAAAAAAAAAAATTTAGTAATGGATGATGGGGGAACTGGGAGGTCAGCGTCTCAAGATGGGCAAAGACAAAGACACTCTGGTCTAACCACTATTTACTGGGTGTACACTGTAAGCAGAGGGATTATCTGATGATTTAGAGGTCAGCGATGATCTTAAACTAATGAGGATCTTGCCCTGGAGCATCGTTCGTCTTAGCAGTCTTAGTCTCACTCTCATCTCAGTCTTAGTCTTAATGGTCGTAAGGTGGGAGGGGATGGCCCACCCCTAATGCGATAATGGGAAAATCTCATAAGGGTGATATCAATAATCCCAAATTTCCATTCATCCTCTAGGGAAGTATGTAAAATTAGCCTTTGTGAATCTGTGGTCCCTAACATTAACTCTGTATAGCAATTCTGGAAGTATTTCCCTTTTCACTATATTGGGTCTTCCTGCCTAAGAGCAAGGGATTTCTCTCCATTTTCTGATATCCTCTTTAATTTCCTTTTTTCAGAGGACTGTAGCTTTCAGTATAGAGGTCTTTTACTGCCTTCATTAGAATTATTTCTTTTTTTTTTTTTTTGGATGTTATTGTGAAAGGTGTTATTTCCCTAATTTCTCTCTCAATGAGTTTATTATTCCTGTACTGATTTTTGAGTGTTAACTTTGTATCCAGCTATGCTACTGAGTTAAATCT